CAACAGTGATCAAATTCAATTCCTAGACATCTTGCTATATAGAATGGCAGGAGGCATTGGGTACAAATTATATCGAAAAGAAACAGATAGGAATACCACTTTATCAGCTGCTAGTTTTCACCCTCAGCACCTGAAGGATTCCCTTCCAATTTCACAGTTCCTCGGAGTTCTACGCTATAATAGTGATGATATACAGATGGGCATTCAACTTCAGGACATGAAGCAACGGTTTCTAGACAGGGGTTATGCCCCTCATACACTTGATATCGCTGAACAGAGGGCTAGAGAGCGATTTAATTCACCACATTCTGAAGGTGCTGCCAAAGCCAAGAAGACACATCTCTTCCTCCCCATGACCGACCATACAGGGACATTGAAAATAAAGAACACAATACAAAAGCATTGGGATATGTTACAGGCTGACAACAGCCTTCCTTCGATTTTTCACCAACGTCCCATAATTAGTTATAAAATAAATCATAACCTTATAGACTTATTAGTCCGAAATGACCCCACACAATGCTATATGAAAAAAGCATGGATTAAAAAGAAGGCATGCTTTAAGTGTACTGGATGTGTGACCTGTAGCCATATGTTGTCAAGCAGTTCATTCGCTCATCCCCACACTGTAAAACATATACTGATCACACATTACATCACATGTACCACAGACCATGTCATCTATATGGTGACATGTCCCTGTGGATTGGCATATGTCTGGAAGACAGACCTTACTTTATGCGATAGGATTAGAGGTCACCATTCGGGGATAATGACTGCATATCGTGACCAAGCAACGGAAAAAACAGTGGCTAAACATTTTTTAGCTATGCAACACCATTTGCCCAAGCTTAAATTTATTGGCATTGATCATGTTGCTCCTTTGGATCATGGCGGAGATAGATCTAAAATTCTCTTACAGAGAGAGGCTTACTGGATCCATTAATTGGACACTGTAGCCCCTAAAGGCTTAAATGAAAATATTGTGTATTCCATGTTTTTGTAATTATATCTTGTTTTATAGTTTGTTTTTTAGTTATTATTGTTGGATAATAGTCCCTGACATGTTGGTTATTATACATGGTCCATGGTCGTTTTTCAAGATTCTTTTGGGTTTTGTCTAGCCTTCCTATGGGATTTATACACACTATTTGGCCCGTTCGTTGTCCAATACATTCGATTTTCCCGCTAGCCTTTCTGTCCATTCAGTTTAATATTCATACAAATCCTATCTTTATTAGGGTATATATCATTCAAATGCTTGTGTGTAATATAGGGATTTCCTGTTTATGTATGGAGCTATCGTTAACTTTTGATCATCATATTTAATTTTGTGTTATCTATCTTTCCCTGTATCGTGTGGTCCTGTGTATATATCGAGTATACATAATTAGGCTTTTAGCATATGTCATTAATATGCTGGTGTGCCTTTAACATAGAATTCCTCATATCATTTTGCCACTAATCTGGCTCTTTGCTTTGTTCCCCATCATCGAGTATTCTTTTTTGCTTTATATTATTTAACATACACTCTATGTATGTAGCAGTCATATGTTACATTTGAACAGTTGTCTCTTTTTAGTGACAATATAGGTTTGTTGTCACATTAGGATTATCTACATTTTTTTTTTATATATTTATTTGTTTTTTTCTTTTAGACATTGTTTATTTATCGTGACCAGCATTTATTAATTCACAATATCATTATGTTTTGTCTATGACTGATTTTTGTAACATGTAAATTGATTCTTGTTACCTGTTCTAGCATTTTGTACTATTTAGCCGTAACCTTGCTATTCATATATTATGATTTTCTTTTTTGAACACGCTTGATTTATTTTCGAGTAGACTTCACATGCCCTTTTTCACTTAGTCACCACACACGAGATTCGCGGTTCGATCATTTTATTTTGTCATGAGGCACACTCTTTCACATTCACTGGCTTTCAGTCTACTTTTATTTATTTTTTATTTCTTATTTTACTTGGCATTATTTGCCATGACTATTCTCGTTCATACCATATAGATATTCTTCCTCCATAACACCCGATAGTTACTTCGCTCACGGTTTTGTATACTGTCACTATGGTAACCACACAACCCCGCCGTGCGTCTAGATTACGTGACGTCACCAGGGGCTTCCATTCACTTCCGGGTGGTAACGGGCAGAGACACTTCACTTCACTTTATTGATTGGTAATTGTTACTTTTTATATTTTATATATAAGCACATTTATGACTTGTATTCAGTGATCTTGAAAAAGACCCGGCAGGGTCGAAACATCGGTCGATTTTTGTATACACCTTCTGTATTAATAAAGCACTATTTTCACCCATATGAAGACCTGTGAGTGCATCCCGTTTTTTTTATTTTTCTATACATTGGACGCCAGTGGATACAGCACCCAGGCAAGATATCTTTATTTCAAATGTAAGGAGAATGCCAAGCATCTACTTTTTCATTATATATTCACACATATGCACGCTCACAAACAAACATAACCCTGCAACAACAAAAAATTGCACATTAGTTATTCCACTGCCACTAGACATAAATACACCCATACTTACGTTCAAACACACAAACACTTCTCACAAATACAACCAGCAAGCATTAGAAAATGGTAGATCTCCAGCTGGCAAAGCACTGTGGATGTTTGCAACAGTTAAAGGGACAGTTTAGGCATGGTGCCAGGATGCCCATGGCGCACTCATACCTCAAGAGTTTAAACGGTTCGCAAATGGTTTACAACCTACTTTTCTACCCTACCATTACCTTTTGTGTCACTATACCCCACTCCCTCAACCCCTCTGTGCCTATGTGTCCAACTCATCTGGTTACAAATACATTTCTGTTAGTCCACCCATTGTAATTTGTTGGCACTTTATAAATAATAATAATTATTATTATTATAAATAGAGAAATGATATGTGGCAAAGCCAGTTTCTATTCTCTTATACACTGCCTGGACAAAAAAAAGTCGCCATCTGGATTAAACTAAGCGCCTCCTATTGGATAGTTACTGCATGGGCGATTATCTTTCAGCTGGCAACAAGTTATTTAGACCCAACTGATGCAATGAGTAGCTTCTCATTTCTTAAACAACCATGTGGAAAGACACATCCCATGGTTGTGGAAAAGATGTTAGTCTGTTTGAGAAGGGTCAAATCATTGGCATGCATCAAGCAGAGAAAACATCTAAGGAGATTGCAGAAACGACTAAAATTGGGTTAAGAACTGTCCAATGCATTATTAAAAACTGGAAGGATAGTGGGGAACCATCATGTTCGAGGAAGAAATATGGTTGTAAAAAAATCATGATTGATCATGATCAGCGATCACATAAACGTTTGGTGAAGTCAAATTGTAGAAAAACAGCAGTAGAACTCAGGCCTATGTTTAATAGTGAAAGCACAATGTGAAGGGAACTCAAGGGACTGTCACTGAACAGCTGTGTAGCTTTAAGAAAACCACTAATCAGTGAGGCTAATCGGAAAAAAGTCTTCAATTCAATGCTAGGGAGCATAAAGATTGGACTCTGGCGCAATGGAAGAAGGTCATGTGGTCTGATGAGTCCAGATTTACTCTTTCCAAGAGTGATGGGCGCATCAGGGTAAGAAGAGAGGCAGATGAAGTGATGCACTTATCATGCCTAATGCCTACTGTACAAGCCTGTGGGGGCTGTGCTATGATCCGGGATTGCTGCAGTTGGTCAGGTGAAGGTTCAGCAACCTTATGTGCCCAAAGAGTGAGGTCAGCTGATTACCTGAATATACTGACTGACCAGGTTATTCCATCAATGGATTTTTTTCTTCCCTGATGGCACGGGCATATTCCAAGATGACAATGCCAGGATTAAATCGGCTCAAATTGTGAAAGAGTGTTCAGGGAGCATGAAACATCATTTTCACACATGGATTGGCCACCACAGAGTCCAGACCTCAACCCCATTGAGAATCTTTAGAATGTGCTGGAGAAGGCTTTGCGCAGTGGTCCGACTCTCCCATCATCAATACAAGATCTTGAAAAATTAATGCAACACTGGGCGGAAATAAATCTTGTGACATTCCAGAATCTTATCGAAACAATGCCACAGCAAATGCGTGCCGTAATCAAAGCTAAAGGTGGTCCAAAAAAAATATTAGAGTGTGGACCATTTTGGTGGCGACTATTTTTTTGGCCAGGCAGTGTATATGGTGAGGGCAGTTTAGTAACTAGGACAGAAAGTGCCCACTGCCAGAGTTATTCATCAAAGTGTATATTGTCGGGAATTTAAGGGGAATTTCAAATTGTAGGATTAAATAGCCAAAATGGAAAAATTATCCAAGTCAGCCTTGCTTTCAGTATGCTTAGTTTGGCCCAAAATTTAAAATTCCCAACAATTCTCATTTAAATCAATAAAATGTTTTGTATTGTAATAATTAAATTCTGCAGTTGCTACAAATGGCAACATAGTTTGGGGAAACAATGAAAAGGGTAATTAAGCACAGGAAAATATATTCCTTTCTTGTTTCTCTAGTAATATAGGGTACTAGCTCCAGAGATGCTATCAGGCCAAAAAAGTCATAACCTCTACATGTATGAACATAGTGGGAACTGGATGAATTAAGCTTACCATCACCTACCCATAACCCCCCCAATAAAGACATACACCAATGTTGGATGAAACAGGCCACAGCATTTATTAACATATAAATACTGCATAACACATCCAATTTTATTATGAACTCCATAAATATAACAAGCAGATTAATAAATTAACACATGACAAATACATAGTGTCATACAGTATGTAACTTAATTAAAAATTGAGAACAAAAGAACAGGAATAACCCCAAATATAACGTAAAGGAGCAAAAATGGTGTACCTAGGTAGTATAGATAGTAAACGCTAAATTAATAAATAAGTGCCTGGGTCTACAAAAGGAATAACTGTCAGACAAAGCGTAAAACTGAAAAAAACATTTTTATTACAATTTTTTTTTTTTATAAGTAAATATGGTACTATATTTACTTATAATAAAATGTATTTATTTTTTTCAGTTTTACACTTTGTCTGACAGTTATTCCTTTTGTAGACCCAGACACTTATTTTTTAATTTAGAGTTTACTATCTATACTACTTAGGTACACCACTTTTGCTCCATAACTTAATTAAACATTAATTAAACCGCCCTTGCCAATCTAATTGATCAACTGCATATACTTACAACCACCCAAAGGCTCTCATCTTCCCCCTCGACCACAAAAATTCCCTTTTAACCTTTTAATGCTCACCACCAGCTGGCTTTTTAAGCTCAGTGAGTCATGTCCACATTGGCAACTTCACAGTTTACCATAAGAGACAGGGGAGGTTGAGACCCGACCATTGTCCACACTATCACTCTTCCTGTCAAACTGTCTCTGAACATGATTGGCAAGGACACGACTCCGCCTGCTGTGAAGAAAAGCAAACCAGGGCGCAGCAAATAGGGCTGGTGGGAGGAAAGTTGTTGCTGGCCCGGATCCGAAGTGGCACTAAGGTAAGCTTAGTCCCCACCCATTCATACCACATGCAAACACTCTCACACACATATTAGCCAATCACAGGTTATCCATTCCTACACTTATACATGTGCCCTTGTCCGCCAAGCTGCGCTATCTCCCTTCGGCCTGGTGCGGTGACACTGATATAACATTTTAGCATAAATTTTTTTCCCTATGAGCACACACAGCCACAAATACAGTATATTCATCTCTAAAATATACAATTAATTTTATGGCATTTGTGATTATCAACATAACTGTCATAACTAGGTTTTTTGTGTTTTTTTTGTTTAATGTTTCAGTCTCTATTTGAGTTTTTAGATATGAAACAAAAATCACCAAAAGAGGGTAAAAGTGAAGTAATAACTTGGTATTTCAATCATTATACAAGATTTCAAGACTGTTAAAAAATGCAGGTGTAGGGGAAGGCAGAGTTGAATGGCCGCCTAATCTTCCAGCTCCTCCACGGGCGGAAAAAACAACTAGCACTAACTCAACATACTCAGCGAATACCCCAACACAACACCTGGGGGGGCCCTAAAAACCATGTCCCATCACAAACCTAAACAGAAAACAGACAAGACGGCGTTCTTCTCGGCAAAAAAACGGACGGGAACACAGAGTCCACGTGAAGGCCTCGAGGAAGATGGCGACATTCAGTGGGTACATACCGGGTCGCAGGGGGCCCTGCGACCCGGTATGTACCCACAGGGCCAGCCTCTTCTCCTGGGGGGCCCAGCAGCCAGTCACCTCAGGGCCCCCCAGAGGCTGGCCCTGCTGACACCGGGCGGGTGGGCACGCAAGGGAGCACTCTCTGTGTGCTTCCTCTTCAGCTCCCTCGCGCACCGTACTGATGCCGGAGCCGGAAGATGACGTCATCTTCCGGCTCCGGCATCAGTACGGTGCGCGAGGGAGCTGAAGAGGATGCACACAGAGAGTGCTCCCTCACGCGCCGGCCGGCCCGTCCGCCGCCAAGTGTCGGGGGGGGGGGAGGAGGAATGAAATGGGAGGGGGGAGGAATGAAATGGGAAGGAGGGGGGGAGAGAATAAAATGGAGGGGGGGGATGAAAGTCGGGAAGGCTGAGGGGGGAGGAATGAAATGAGGGAGGGAGAGAGTGAAAATGGAGGGAGGGGAGGAAATGAAATGGGAAGGAGGGGAGGAGAGAACAAAATGGAGGGGGGTGTGGAATGAAATGGAAGGAGGGGAGGAATGAAATCGGGGAGGGAGGAAATGAAAATGAGGGAGGAGAGAATAAATGGAGGGGTGGGAGGAATTCAAATGGGTGGAGGGAAGGAATGAAATCTGAGGGGAGAGGAAGGAAACGAAACGGAGGAGAGGAATGAAATGGAGAAGGGATGAAATGAAATGGGAAAGGAGGAATGAAACATAAGGGGAAGGAATGAAATTTGAGGGGGGGGAGAGGAATGAAATTTGATGGGGGAGAGGAATGGAATTTGAGGGAGGGAGGGGGGAGAGGAAGGAAATTTGAGGCAGGGAGAGAGGAAGGAAATTTGAGGGAGGGAGAGAGGAAGGAAATTTGAGGACGGGGGAGAGGAAGGAAATTTGAGGGACGGGGGGAGAGGAAGGAAATTTGAGAGACGGGGAGAGGAAGGAAATGAGAGGGAGGAGGAGAAGAAGGAAATTGGAGGGGGGAAGAAGGAAATTGGAGAGGGAGGGGGAGAAGAAGGAAATTGGAGGGAGAGGGGGGGAGAAGGAAATTGACGGGGGGGAGGGGGAGAGATTGACATCCATCACACACAATGCACCCCTTGCACACAGAAAAACACACAATGCATTACACACAGACACACGTACACAAGCAATGCATCCCTTACACACAGCAACACACAATGCACCCCTTACACACACTCAATGCATCCCTTACAGACGCACACACTGCATCCCATACATACACAAACTCATCTTGCAGCCCTTACACATACAAACACAGATTCACACAATGCATTCCTTACACACATCAGGACATCCCCCACACACACACTCCACTCCCTGTGAACAAACTCATTGGTGGAACATGAAGGTGGACCCTGGGACCCAGACCTTGAGCTGTGTAAAGGGCCCTCAAAAAAATGGAGCTGCTTCCCGTTCTCCCAGAACAGTGATTTTTGTGACCACAGTTACAAACCGCCTCCAGAGAGCCTGTTGTACACCAGACCAGTGGAGCCAGACGGCAGCCAGAGCCCATCATCATCCTCATCTGGTTGTAAGTAGGCAATCTAGTATATATCATTGGATTCAAGTATACCACTGTGAAGATTCCACTCCAATTTGACGTCTCAGGATCTCCTGTCTTCTTAATATATCTCACCATTACGGACTTTTTGATAAGTGTCTTTGGACTATTATTTTATCTATTATTTTTTACTTTACTTATTTTATCATATAGTGTGTATATGTTTTACTATTTATTTTAGGCGCACCCTTATCTCTTCTTTTATCTATTTTACCTTTATATTTAGGGGATTATAGGGGATTCCCCTCCCAGAGGTGCTGCCTTTTTATCATTTTGTGTGGCAGTAGTGGGCTGATTTCTTTTCCTTTTTCGTATCAATCTAGTATATTATTCGTGGCACTAATCTCTAATTTACCTCACATTAAAGGGACACTATAGTCCCCAGAACCACTGCAGCTTAATGTAGTGGTTCTGGTGTCTATAGCCTGTCCCTGCAGGCCTTTTATTGTAAACACGGCGGCACTGCAGCACTGTGTTAGTTAACATGGCAGATCATATGGGTGGGGCATTGTGATGTCACATGGGGGGCGGCAAACTTTACTTTTGCCTAGGGCGGCAAAAATCCTTGCACCGGCCCTGCAGACACTGCATCCCTGTGGGCGGATTCGGGGGGGGGCAGCACTTTGGGCGGACTCGGGTGCAGGCACCGGGGGGCCCAGACCTTGAGCTGTGTCATGGGCCCCAACATTTCTGATGGCAGCCCTGCTCACTAATTCTAATCTATACGATGTGTGGAGAACCTTATATCCCTCTGGTAAACAATACACTTATCTCTCCGCGGTACACAACTGCTATACGAGAAACAACAGATTCTATATCAGTGGCCCACACTTTAACCAAGTACAGGATTGCGTCATAGAGAAAATGACGTGGTCGGATGACGCTCCCATAACTCTGACGTTGGAAGATAAATTCGCCTTTAAACCCCCATGGCGACTAAATGAAACCCTATTACGCAATCCCTTGTTTGTAAACTACGTGACTGCTCAGCTCACACAATATTTCACCACAAATACTACTCCCGACATGTCAAAACACACAATATGGTTGGCACAAACAGGCGTCACACCTTAAACGGACGTCAGATAGGCAGATGCAGGTTTGGGAAGAAGCCTTGAAGGAAGGTAACAAAGATAATGCGCAGAGGCCGTCAGGCAGCACCAAGGAGAAAATCATACTCCTTCAAACAAGAATAAGGGAAGCCCATGTTAAAAAAACTGGCCGACTCATGCACAAACTCAAGCAAGTACAGTACTCACAGGGCAACAGAGCAGGGAAATTATTAGCAAACACAGTGAAAAGTGTACAAGCTAAGTCTAGGATCCCTTATATTCTTAACGATCTGAACAAAATTATCTCACCACTGGAAATAGGGAACACATTTGCTAAGTTTTATGAATCCCTTTATAACCTCTCAGAAGACGCCTCACAATACCAGGCTACCATGGATGAAGTCAAAGATTATCTTACAAAAATACAAACCACGACCCTAACTGAGTCCCAAAAAGAATCCCTAACGAACCCCATAACCAAGGAAGAGATAGAACAAGCAATTGCACAATTACCAGCCCTCAAAACACCAGGTCCAGACAGCCTACCAAACAGTTACTATAAAACCTTCAGCTCGGTCTTAACCCCTCGCCTCCAATCAATCTTCAACGAGGCAATCCTACACGCACAATTGCCCCAGGACATGCTGAGGGCTACCATTATAACCCTACCCAAACCAGGCAAAGCCCCAGACAGGTACAAAAACTTCCGCCCAATTTCCCTCTTAAACTCGGACGCTAAACTATTCGCTAAGATCATTACAAACAGAATGGCAGATGCCCTGGTCGCTCTTGTACACCCAGACCAATCGGGGTTTGTGAAAAGTAGAAAGGGTACTGATAACACTAGATACACGTGCTGGATATAATGGAATCAATGAGACAGAGGGGCGAGAGGGGTCTCCTGCTTTCTCTGGATGCAGAGAAAGCTTTTGACCGGTTGAGTTGGAACTTCATGGAGGCCACACTAGACAAATACGGGTTTCCGGCCCAGTTTGTAGCAGCGGTAAAGGCCCTATACAACCAGCCGACAGCGCAAGTGCTATATGGAGGCTTTATGTCTGAGAGATTCTCCATCACCAACGGCACACGCCAAGGGTGCCCCCTCTCTCCTCTCCTTTATGTCCTAGCACTCGAACCATTGGCAACCCAAATTAGAGCAAAGGAAGACATTAAGGGAGTACTGATAGGTAAGACAGAACACAAGCTTAGTCTCTTTGCGGACGATGTGCTGCTAACCATTACAGAACCAGAGTCCTCTCTCCCAGCCCTTATGGACTTAATAGATGAGTATGGCAGAATCTCATACTACAAACTTAACAAATCCAAAACGCAGGCGCTACCAATCAACCTGCCCCACACACTGTTACAAACTCTAAAACAACAACACGACCTAGACTGGAGGTCCGACCACATCTCATATCTAGGGATAGCATTAACAAAAAACCCTACCAATCTCTACAAAGCCAACTACACAAAACTGGCCACAGCCATTAGAACACAAATGGAAAAATGGAAAGGCAAACACATCTTGGCTGGGACGGGTAGCGGCCTTCAAGATGACACTACTCCCTAAACTTCAGTTCCTATTCAGATCCCTACCAATAGACATCCCTAAGCCATTCTTTACCACTCTGCAGAGACAGATAGACCGTTTTATCAATGGCCAACGTAAAGCTAGAATTCCTAAATCGACCACACGTAAAAAAAAATAAAAAAAATCGAGGAGGGTGGACTGGGTTGCCCTGACATTCACACATACTACAAGGCCACAATACTTACGCACGCAATTACCACACAGGACGGCAATAAAGGCCCTCCTTGGGCAGACATTGAATCCCATTGGTCTCTTCCAGAGGTAGTTCATCTCCTTCTCTGGCTACCCAAGACTTCTCGCCCTAAAACTAGTAATCTACTGCCTATAACAGCGGTAATGCTAAAAACACGGGACAACCATAAATACTCCATCCTCTCTAGACTACCGAACTCCCTGGCCACGCCACTCAGATGTCTTCAATATTTAGTTCCAACCTTCAACAGCAGGGGATGGGAGAGTCGCGGCCTCACGCATCTGCACCAGTTATGGACAGGGGACTCGCTAGCCCAATTTACGCAACTGTGCCTGAAATATGACATACCCAAAGGGTTGTATCTTTCATATCTGCAAATCCAAGCACTCACACGCCAAACACACTACAGAACCTCAGGGACTGTAAACCAACACTACAACATGTCACCTATTGAGAAAATGTGCACAGGTCAAATACCCAAACAGAGAGTGATATCATTATGCTACGACTGTTGAAATCCAACACGACGCTCTTACCGACTTACACAACTGCATGGGAAAGGGAGCGGGGATATACCATTCCACGGGAAAAGTGGCTCACAGCCTTCAGTGCACATAAAACCTTCACCCACTGCGTGTCCCACATCGAACTTATCAGGAAGATTTTAACGAGATGGTATATACCCTCGAAACTAGCCAGAGCATATAAAACCATAGAAGACACATGTTGAAGATGTGTGGAGGGAAGAGGTAACATGACACATATCTGGTGGAAGTGCTCAGCCTTACAACCCTACTGGGATATGGTGACCACTCTGCTGACGGAAGTAGTGAGCAACCCAATACCTCGTTCTATCGAGACTTACGTATTGTTCATGTTGCCCAAAACTCTAATACCTGCTCAAAAAAACTTAGTCTTTCACATCCTAATTTCATCGAATCTGCTCATTGCTAGGAAATAGAAATCAACCACAATACCTAGCATGTTGGAAATCACTACACAAGTCACCACCAATGGGCAATACGAAAAAATGGCCCACATTAACTCCACAAGACCCCACAAAAAGCTGGAGTTGTGGGTCCAATGGGAACAGTGATTGACCACGCAATCGAAAAGTAGATCCCCAACAGAGAACCAAGGTCGAAATACTGACCTCTTCTAAACCTACCCACGCAAAACACTGGTCTTTGACTCCTGGTCGGGGGTAACAGTCTGCAGTCACTATACCACCCATGACCATATAACCCCAGCTGTGCCAACCCCCCTTTTCTCACCTTGCCAACTTATTCCCCACCCCACTCCACACTACACTGTGTATACCCCAACGAATGCCTCCTACCCAGAAGTGTGATACACACAATGCTCGTAATAATGAGGTAGCACAGTCACGGGTAGCTCCAGGCGAGAGTATATGCTGAGACAACGGTCTCTATAAAACTCTTCAGCCTTGGAACCCACTCAACGCATCAGCACTAAGGCTACGTCACACAAGAGGGAGAGCGGAGAGATGGAACGATAGGGGTTCCATGTGAAACTGTAAGACACTTTATGTTGTTTTCGCATCACCTTGTAATATCTTGTAACCTATATACTTTGATTGTCTGTTTGATGTCCACAGTATTGTATACTAAAATTTGGAAATAAAAGAAATAAACATTAAAAAAAATAAAAATGCAGGTGTATTAATTTGCACAAATCCTTTACAGTAAGTTTTGTATATTAGCTGAATATATATTTAAGAAAATGTTTTTTGTTTTTTTGTCACATGCCCCTTTCTGTGTAAAGTTTAAGCTGCTGAAATATTTTATAGGAAAAAAATTGAGCACAATTTTCATGTTTTTTTCATTAATTTCGCCTCACTTGTTCTATTAAACATATGGTCTTCAGAACTAGACACAGTATTTTGAAAGAAATCTCTAAGTGATACCACTGCTTTGCTAAGATGCCTGTTCACATAAATAATAGTAATTCCTGCAGGAGATGGTGACTGCTAGCAAAGAAACAGGACACATTCTGTATTCATCAAGCTATTTACAAAGTCTGTTGGAGAGGTATAGCCTCCAACTGTCCACCAATATAGCCACAGCAAGTGCTTGATAAACTCAAAGGCAGAACAATTTAAAACCAAAGTGCAAAAAATCAAGTTAAAGCAGTCTAGCTGTGACTGTAGATGATTTGGAGAGTTTTTCTCATATCAGCTATTTTGGCATAAGATTTAAAGTTCATTTTTCGATTCACTACAAGTCAGTTTTTGTAAAGCCACGAGCAGTTCTTCCATTAATTACAGCCATAGCAACTCCTAGGAAAAATAGATCCAGGCATATAGGCAGTCTATATCTGTCCACCAAGACAACCACTGCAACTGTCCGATGGGTTAGATACAGTAACTGCTTGCCATAGCAGACCTTTAACCAAAACAGCAACAATATATATATGTAAGTAAACATATATATATATATATATCTCAAAATATAGACCAGCAGATATTTATTTTATTTATTTATTACTGGCATTTATAAAGCACCAACATATTCCGCAGTGCTGTACAATTGGACAAAACGACCGTAGAATATAAACAGACCAATACAAAAGGAAGAGGGCCCTGCCCGGGAGTTTACAGCCTAAATTATAGAATCTTCTATCAGGCCCTTCGAGAGTCAGTGGAGATCTTTGTTGTTGAGACAAGATTCTGAAAGTATGGGCTCAGACAGACCCTGCAACAGCTCACAGAGATGGACGGTTTTACAGAAAGACAACTAGTGGATTTGCCAACATAGGAAGGCTGCTTAACGGACAATACAAACATTAAGAAAGAAAGCAGACTGCATCTGCAACCAGGAAGAACTCCGCTGCTAGGAGAGACAGACATAAAACACTGTTAGATATATACACACACAGACAAGTATGGAGCCTGAGTGAATAGGGGGGAGTTGGGAGGGGCAGTGGGCACTACATTCAGTCTGCATCTCTGTTTTGTTCTCTGACACATTTATTGTTCCCTCTATGTCTATGTGACTGACAAGGGCTGACATGCCAACAATCCCCCAATAGGAGAGGTGCCAGCTGTCAGCCTGGGTCAGCAGACACTGGTGACAGCACTGTTACCGCTACAGAGAGTGCCTGGTTTCATAGAGACCACGAATGAACGTGAGAACAGCCAGACAGGGCTCCGAATTTGAGTAAAGATTACCCCAAATATGAACTGAGGGGGCAATGAAACCGTGAAACAGAAGCCAAGCTCTCATTCATGCATCAAGACAGGATAAAGGAATAGCAGAGCTTAGCAATTGCAGGAGAGTATCATCCAGGACTGGCTCACACCCCTCTCTCTAGCCATGTGTATACTGCCCTTTGTACATCCTTCTCTCTGCAATTTATCTTTGTTGTGTGCGTAGTGACGTGTGTAGAGTGCAGTGTTAGCAAAGTGAAAAGTCAGGAGGAAAAAGGTGCATCTAAAGTAGATTTAACAATGGCAAAGCACAGGATATATGGGATGTAGAGTGTGCAGTGAGGGCTAATAGAGAGCGTGGAGCACAGTGCTAGCAAAGAGAGAGCACAGGGTGCAGGGTTAGCAGAGAAAGCGCTTAGTGCAGTGTTAGCAGAGAAAACAAAGAGCATTGGGTCCAGTTTTAGCAGAGGTAGTAGAGATAAAATGTGCTGGTTGCAATAATAGACTGCAGGGTGCAGAGTTAGCACTACTAGAACACAAAGAGATGTGTTCCATTTTAGACTGTAGGATGCAGAGTTAGCAGAGTGAGGGAACAGGGTGGGTGCAGTGTTATTAAAGGGACACTACAGTCACCAGAGCAACTACAGCGTATTGCATTTGTTCTGGTGAGTAGAATCATTCCCTTCAGGATTTTTGCTGTAAACACTGTCTTTGCAGAGAAAATGCAGTGTTTACCTTACAGCCTAGTGATAACACCACTGGCCACTCCTTAGATGGCTGCTAAAGCTGCTCCCTGGGGCAATCCTGCCTAGTATGCAGTACTGTCATTCAGTGTCTCCACCCTATGCATGCAGACACTGAACTTTCCTTAGAGATGCATTGATTCAATTAATCTCTATAAAAGAGATCCTGATTGGACAGGGCTGTGTTTGACTTGTGCTGGCTCTGCCCCTGATCTGCCTCCTTGACAGTCTCAGCCAATCCTATGGGTAAGCAATGTGATTGGCTCAGAACACCACTTCTGATGATGTCAGCAGACAGAGGCAGTTCACAGCCAACAGGGGCAGAAATAGCAACTGCAGACTTGAATACAAATAAGATTTTACTATATCTGGTGTGTCAAGAGGGGGCCAGGGTAGCTAAGTGGTGGTTTTAACACTATAGGGTCAGGTATATATGTTTGTGTTCCTGACCCTATAGTGCTCCTTTAAAGGGAGTAGTGTTAGCCGGAATAAAGCAGAAGATGAAGTGTCATTGGAATGATGTTACAAAGGCATTCTTTAAATAAATATGTCTATTGGTGTATAGTAATAGATTGGTATTATAATCTCGTATCTAGGTTTTGGGAGGTGCAAGATAGAGTGTTAAAAAGAAGCACAATGCAGCATTTTTTGATGGACCGAGAGGTGCTGTGCTGGAAGATACAGAGGTGCAGGATGCAGTGTTAGATAATAGAGAGGTGCGTGATGCAGTGGTAGATGATAGAGAGGTGCAGGGTGCTGTACTAGATGATTGAGAGGTGCCAGGAGCAGTGCCAGGTGATAGAGAGGTGCAGGATGCAGTGCTAGATGATAGAGAGGTGCAGGGTGTGTTAGAACCCAGAAAGTAGTTGTTACTTGTGTATACAATAAAAATAACTTTTATTCGCAAATCAATTTATTTTCACAAATAATAGGAGCAGAAAAAAATGGGGGATGGGTCTGCGCCGATGTGTACACTGAGTGTTGAGTCCAATGTATATTGTCGTGTCCAAAGTTCTACTTTAGGTGGGGTCGTGGAGAGTAGTCCAAATATAAGAAGAAGAGATCTTACTTACAATTAACAGAGCTTAACCCAGCTCTGGTGTGGATAGCTCGCAGCGGTATTATCCCCGCTTACAGGATATTCGGCAATTGTCCTCTTCTTTGTGGTAGCAGGTGGCCGTAGTTGGGGAAGATAAAATGAAGACAGTAATGGTGCAGTATGTTCTACACTGATAAAAAATATAATAAAATATGATAGATACACTCACATTCGGTAGAGCTTAGGCTAGCTCTAGTTGGTTAGGCGTACAGCGGTATCATCCCCGCTTATGGGATATATGAGGAGTGATCTTGATCGGAGTATCAGGAGCTCGAAGAGAAGGTAAAACAGCGATAGTGCTCTCAATAAAATCTTGAATGGTAAGATAAAATAATAAAATATACTCACAGTGTATAGGGCAGGCTAACTGCTCTATGTAACAGCGTAGGTGGTATAATATAATTTTAAAGAACAATTATTTCTGGTTTTTTAATTGTTTTTATCTACAAAAACGAGGTACGGCTATGGGAACCAGGTTCGCCCCCAGTTATGCCAACCTCTTCATGGCAGATTGGGAATCCACTGCCATCTGGGGCGAGCATACATGGCGGGCGATCCTGATCACATATTTTAGATACATAGATGACCTCTTTTTTATCTGGAACGGTTCAGAAGATTCTTTAAAATTATTTATTAATCATCTTAATTGTAACAACAGAGGCATCATTTTAACTTACGAATGCAGTAAATACAGTAAAACTACCATTAACTTTTTAGATTTGGAAATTTTTATTAAAAATGATATTTTAAATACCAAAACCTTTTTTAAAAAAGTATGCACAAACACAGCCATTGATCGCTCAAGTTGCCAATACAAACCATGGCTGGAAAGTGCACCAAAAAGTCAATTTTTAAGACTGAGAAGGAACTGCTCTCAAATAGAAGATTTTAACTCGCAAGCTGCTTTTTTGAAAAATCAATTCACAGAAAAAAATTACCCAATAGAGAACCTTAATAATACCATAGAATCAGTTAGAATTAAAGAAAGAACAGAACTTTTAAATTACAAAGAAAAAACCACTGATAATCACCTTAACCTTCCGATTATCTTCAATTTTAACAACAAAAGTAACCATGTTAAAAAAATTATAAAAAAACACTGGCACCTATTACAACATGATGATACTCTTAAGAAAATCATACCAGAAAGACCAAATATTGTCTTTAGAGGAGCCCCTAGGTTAAAATCTATTCTAACCTCCAACTACACAAAAGAGAACAAAAAAAAGTCACAAACCTGTCTTTTACCTAATATCAAAGGGTTCTTTAAATGCAAACACTGTAAAGTATGCAAATGCACAGATCAGTCGATTAAAACTAAAACCACACACTTTCAGTCTAATAAAACCAACACAACATATAACATTAAGGATTTTATTACATGTACTACAAAGAATGTAATCTACCTCCTAGAATGCCCATGTGGATTACAATACGTGGGCATGACCACAAGAAGTCTTAAAACACGCTTAGGTGAACACTGCCGGAATATTATTAATGGATACCAGAATCATACGGTATCTAAACATTTTATCATTCATAATAAGGATCCTGGCCTTTTAAAATGTATTGGCATAAAAAAATGCACCATTCCATGGAGAGGAGGTAACATCAAAAATATTTTAGGAAAATGTGAAATGGAATGGGTCTTTAATTTAAAAACATTGGTTCCAAATGGTTTAAATGCAGACTTTGATTTATTTAATTTTATCTAAATATTTTACATAACATTACCACTCTTCTTATTATATCTTATTTTAACATATATTAAAATGTTTTATGTGCTTATGCCCTTATTATTTTAATATTAGCATTTTACATATGTATGTTTTATTATGTTATTATGTTTTAATACTCCTATTTTGTTTTATGTAAAGATGTGCCACCTCTAACATGGCCACCTATTTAACTATTCACCTAGCCTATATTCCCCTCCCAAGATGGCTGCTACCATTATGTTTTCACTAGTAATCCTTCCCCCTGTGGTTTCAAAACCACTCCCCCCTTCCCTAACCCCATAGCATATCCAGTGAGATTGACATGTAGTCTAACCTTAGACTACATGTCCCATACTCCCTCCGAAACCGGAAGTGACGTCACGTCCGGTACACGCGTCACGTGCCCCTCCCATTGGTGTTCCTCCCTCCCTCCCTCCCTCCCACCCTGTAAGCCCAATGTTGGGCTCTATTTGCATTAGGGACATGTAGTCTAGCCACAGACTACATGTCCCATGACCTCACTGAACCGGAAGTGACGTCGCGCTAATGACGCGCGTCACATGGTTCAGTTCTAAAATGTAAATACAATGTAATAAATGCTCGTTTTTATATAAAACCTATGTCATTAGCATTATATAAGTTATATAAATCTAACCTTTATTCAGAATTGTTGTTATGAAAGTGTAAAAACGATCTGTTTAACTATTGGTTGTAAAATTTTGGCGCCAATTTTATAATTATTTTATACCTATATAAACCCTAACTAGCCAGGTAGAATTGTTTGTTATCCATTGATAAAGCCTTACATTGGTGAAACGCGTTTGGATATTTTATACTATTTTATATATTGTTAATAAAAGATTTTGGTCACTTTTACGTATAAACCATCATCTTTTTTATTACCTGGCTATTTTAATAACTTTCTATTTATATATATTTTTTTTATATTTTATTTATTTTAATTTTTTTTTTTATTATTTTAAGTCCTGTATACCATACTCCAAGAATCCCAGGTGGGGATTATACCACCTACGCTGTTACATAGAGCAGTTAGCCTGCCCTATACACTGTGAGTATATTTTATTATTTTATCTTACCATTCAAGATTTTATTGAGAGCACTATCGCTGTTTTACCTTCTCTTCGAGCTCCTGATACTCCGATCAAGATCACTCCTCATATATCCCATAAGCGGGGATGATACCGCTGTACGCCTAACCAACTAGAGCTAGCCTAAGCTCTACCGAATGTGAGTGTATCAATCATATTTTATTATATTTTTTATCAGTGTAGAACATACTGCACCATTACTGTCTTCATTTTATCTTCCCCAACTACGGCCACCTGCTACCACAAAGAAGAGGACACTTGCCGAATATCCTGTAAGCGGGGATAATACCGCTGCGAGCTATCCACACCAGAGTTGGGTTAAGCTCTGTTAATTGTAAGTAAGATCTCTTCTTCTTATATTTGGACTACTCTCCACGACCCCACCTAAAGTAGAACTTTGGACACGACAATATACATTGGACTCAACACTCAGTGTACACATCGGCGCAGACCCATCCCCCATTTTTTTCTGCTCCTACCATTTGTATTCCAAGGACACCAGAGGGAATCCTTGTTTGGGACTGCTGCCTCTCTGACTAGCGCTGACTCAACTTTATTTTCACAAATAACCCTGCTCATTAATGTGGTTTCCTTAGCATTAAAAGAAACTGCAAAGACTGGGACTACCCACAGAGCGCTTAGCTCTCAGGAGCTAGAATCCCTACTATCCACCTCAGGACTCATGACACCCACGGAACACGCAGGGAGCAAGTTTGTCACAGCTGGACCCAGCCAACATTCCTAATTTACTCCCCATCCATCCCAGTGAGCTAAACCAGCCATAAGTTTTAGTCTCTAAGGCAGTAGTTTCCAAACCAGTCCTCAAGGCACGCCTACCAGTCCAGGATTTAGCGATTACCCAGTTATGTAAAGGTTTTTTTTTTTTTTTTTTAAAAACACCTTAGACACAACTGAGTTTGGAAACCACTACTTTGAGTTGGGCTTAATTTTCTGTTCTCTGCAGTTACTTTTTCTAGCTAAGTTAAGCCAGTCACTGGAGCCACTCACTTATTTAGACACTTGCAATTCCTATTATATTGGCGTTTCAATGCTTCTCCTTTATCCCCCTCCCCCAACCAGTTGTCAACTTTACCTAGTTTACCAAGCATTCTTCTGAGAAGGGGCTGCAACCCTTAAGGGGCATGGTACAATCGTGAATGGACATTGGGTTTTATTTTGCCCCTAAACCCACTGAGGAAACTCTAGGTACCTATTGAATTAGGCCACACTATTATTTTTCATATAAAAAGAATCATGCTGCCTGCAGTCTTATCTGACTATGTGCTCCGTTTACGGCGTTTATGCTTCGTTTTTTTCTGTTGATCTCGGATTGCTATGTCTTGTCTAATTTGCATGCAGTATGACAATAATAAAGAATTGTTTTTTTTTTTTTTTTTTAAAAGAGCCAAACTGGAAAAAATACCAATACCTTGGAAATAGCTATGTTTCGAATCCAGCTATTTTACCATAACATTGGGATTTAATTTTGAATTGCAGACAAATCACACTTTAGTAAACAACTCTGTATACAGTGTTGCGGCATCCATAAAAACAAGAGGAGACAAACATTTTCTATTCCTTGGGTAGTGTGGGGTATAAAACCAGGTTTTAGTTGGCAAGACTTGTACTGAACTTTTAATGAATAATATTTTCATGAATTGATGTTAATGGGAATTACACACTCAATTTTAGGAGGCCCCATGCCTGAACTAGAGTTATCAATGCTTGAACGGAACCAGACACTAACAGAACCAAGCAATTCAGGTTTTCTGAGGACACCAGCTTGTTTTTTACTTCCACTCCCTAGAGTAAAGGATAAGAGGGGATTCTTTATTTTTTGTGAGGGTTCGGTGAACCCCACACTCCTATATTTTATTTACTATGTGTCCTGTCAGTGCAGTTGGCTAGTTTGGTGCTTTGGTGATCGAGGGATTTATAGAGTTAATTAATTAAGTTGGATAACAAGATAAAGTTCTTTACTGAACCGAGACGGCACCCTTTAAAAATTTTTGTAGTTATTGGATGGTTTTCCTGATACAGCAGTTCACAGACAATAAAACTGCATATATTTCCAGAGTAGAGATTTCACTCAGGCGTTAAGGTAGTTTTGCTCTGGCAACAGAATAGCAGAAAAGCCAATAATTAATCACGCTGGCTTTTTTATTGCCATTCTCTAGCAGTGATATGGAACCCAGAGAGAAGAGTAGAATGTCGACTGATAAGATGAAAGGGAAGGGTGCCGCACTTTGTAGGAAAGACAAACGTCTGAAAGGTGTGGCATTGAGAATGAAAAACTACACGAAAATGAGAACTGGTGGAAATTCAAAGTGTTAATACCGTTGCAATTTGCCTATTTTAGTCTGAATTTTGCAACTATATATTTCAGTTCACTACAATTGTGTTTAGTGAATAAATCCTTTAGCGAATAACCTTGATAGATTGAGAACTGGCAGGAAAAATATACAAGTAGAGGCGTGCAGGAAAGGGGCTGGATAAATTGTAAATAGCACGAAGAAACAAGCATGTGGTGTTATTGCAATCACAGAGAGGGTGCTGTGTGGTTCTGGCAGAGTGACACAGTAACCCGGTACAGACAAATACACAATCCACGCAATACACAAGGCACACGCAGAACACAATGATAAGGGGTCTCTACTGTGTGCCGCAGCTTAGCTAATTGAGTGAGGAACTCACCAGACGTTTAATTAAGGGACAGGGGGACCCTGTGTCACACAGGAGCAGATGGACCAAGTCCTAATTGGTAATTATCTTTCGTACGCCAGCTGAAAAAGCACTGCATCCTGTGCAGAGGGACACAAGGATTGTCAGACACAACTGACAACCTCCAGGAAACACAACACAGAGGCATGTTGGGTAATAAGAAGACAAACTGAAATATGATAGGACTGGAGAAACAATGGACCCATACACAGTCTTAAAAGGTGTCAAAATTATGGAAAGGACTCTCGGAGTCCATGGTAATAGAATGAGTTTGTCTAATCCGTAATAAAAAAGGAATGGCTAAAATAAAATATTGTTTAGATCAAGTTGAGCTTATACACTATCCATAATCAAACATCGGTGGTTTTGCAGGAGCACAGGGGCTGTAACTGGCTTTCACTAATCTGCCATAAATATTCGAAGTGACTTTACCAATTTATGTGTACATCTGTCTTCATGGTCTGTGTGCTATTCAGTGATGACATAAATATGTTTAATGTAACTTTGACAAGGGTGGAGGGAAAAAAAACAGAATAATAATCAGAATTAGTGCCAGGAAACTGCAGCACTCCAGCTGTTGTTGGAGTACAAATCTCATCATCCACAGCCAGAGGATGGTACCGATAATTACTAATGCAACATCAGACACAATTAAACAAGCTCATTTAAAAGCACATTATGAGGCTATAAGTAGGCATAGTGTTGAGTCTGTCCCTTGGCAAAAGTTAAAGTAATATATTAATTTTAATAATTCATCTTCAGCCTTGAATGTTTCACATAAATCAACTATCCACTGCAAGAAACAATTAGTTTTTCTTAGTCCACTGAGTGCCAGAAGTAGAAACATAGAATGTGATGGCAGATAAGAACAATGCGGCCCATCTAGTCTGCCCAATTTTCTAAATACTTTCATTAGTCCCTGGTCTTTTCTCAAGTCTAAGATAGCCTTATGGCTATCTCACGCATGCTTAAACTACCTCACTGTGTTAACGTCTACCACTTCAGCTGGAAAGCTATTCCATGCGTTCACTACCCTCTCAGTAAAGTAATATTTACTGATATTATTTTTAAACCTTTGTCCCTCTAATTTAAGACCATGTCCTCTTGTTGTGGTAGTTTTTCTTCTTTTACATATACTCTCCTCCTTTACTGTGTTGACTCATTTTATGTATTTGAGTGTGATCAATGTGCACCTCAATTAACTCCTATTTCAGGAACCAGGTTACATGTCACTTTCAAATGCAAATTCTAAGAAAATCTTTAATTCACTATTCTGCCATTAACCAACAGCACAGCTTGCCAGTAACCAGCATAAGAAACATATTGACCTCTTTTTACTGTCAGAGGCAGCAGTTTACACATATAAATATTACCTTTTTTTGCACACTGATATAAGGATCACCATCTCTCTTTATTTGCCCGTTACAAGCACTATGGCAGTCCATTAACCCTTTTTCTGCTAGGATCTATCAGCACAGAAACATTTAATATTAAAACCCATAATTTCTTCCCCATTTTCTACAACACTTTAAAGTTTTTCCTCTTTGACAGACACAGAGTCTCACAAGGCACCCACCCATTGTCAATGCTGCACGCACTACAAAATGGTGGTGTTCACAGGTACGGCTCTGTGGAGATGCTGATTAATAGATGCCATCACTCAGTGTCCGGCTGGAGGGTGCAGCTCCCCCCTAGAGCAGAGATAACGAGCAGCCAGAATAATGAGCAATGACAGGTCACTCGTCATTCTGATGGGATGTAATTAGGGAGCTCGGAAGAGGGGAAAGGCGTGTATCACCCAGTGTGATATGATACGAGGGAAAAGAACAGAGAAGAAAGGCATGTGTCACCCACAGGGTGACCAAGATGAGAGGGGGAGGAAAGAAATTATAGAAAGAGAGAGACAATGAGAAAAAGAGTAAAATGGAAACTGTGACGCATGATGTTAAGGTCTCTTTATTATTAGCATAAAAGATTCCTATATACTATCAAAATAATGTTTTAATATCTGATAATCAAACCTCAGTATGAGGTGAGAGAGGAAAATTCAAAGGCCAGTTCCGATCATTTTCACAGGACGGTTATTATACCTCCGGGATAAGTCTGCTTCAATCTGAAAACAAAATGGAGGAAAAGGTGAGAAGATTCTTCCTGGTGTTTATGTAACCCACCTTACAAGTGTTCTCTGCACAACTATAAAGAATAATACAATCATATTCTGGAACAATTTTCCACTCTCTCAGCTGTCATCTGCCATACAATCTCTCAGCTTCTCCATTATATCTAAACGGGGCTCACACCTCATCATACACCTTTTAGAGCACTAGCAGACTAGACACCCCCCCCACTGTTCTTTGGTTCTCCCTTGTCTCTCTGTGTGCCCTCTATTCCTACCCCACTCCTCAAGGTACACCAACAATTTAAGATTTAGGCATTGTTTAATTGTTTTCCTGCTGGGTACAGTGACAAGACTTGAACTGCTGGTGTCCAGTGAGGAAACGGTTGGGACCCACTTGCACTTATGATATAAGTAGACACTCCAGCCCTTGCATGTTGGCTCTTTTCCTAGAGAACCAAACTCTCCAGATTCTTTTTAATAATTTTCCTTCATTAATTTCTCACCTGCCCTTGTAGCTCCTTGCTTCTTTCTTGTATAAGAAGCAGCTTGGGCTCTAGAGTTAGCCTCTCCTCCTGCGCCGCCTTGCCCCTCTCCACCCATGCTTCACTTTTTCTCTCCAAGAGCTCGGCCTGCCTCAGGCGCTGACGCAGCAGATCTGTCACACGATCCACATACCTAGAAAAGATGTTCCATGAGCATTGACAGAAGTCTCATAAATCATAAATGTTGACATAGTTGTATGTATGAGTGTCCAATATGTATACAAGAATATATAATACGTATACAATGTAGCACAATGTAGGCTGCACTCACCGGGGAGATGCAAGTATAAGAAAAAGGTGTCTTATTCGTACATCTGTGAGTCGGCCAACTAGATCTTGTACAACCGATAACATAGATTCAATTTTTTGCCGAGACTGTCCATGTAGAATGGATGGAGCAGACTGAAATTGTGTAACAGTCACAATGTCTGTGTCACTATCCAGGCCCTGAAGCCACTGGGATAAGAAGACCTCCAACTGTGAGATAAAAAGGACTAGCATTAGAAAAGCATTTAGGGTGTAATCGAGATTATCTAATAACATTAGTATATTCTTGTTCTAGAAAATACTTTGAAGAAAAATTGCTGCAAATTTAGGAAACATTTGGGACACATCTGTAAACATTTCATGGATACTTCAAGTTAGTCTTGCAAACATTCACTTCATTACAACATCAGATCAGTTTTGTTTATTATTGCTACAACAAAGGGGTGAGTCGAGGAGCAGTACAAGGAAACAATATTAGAACTAGAGGAACTATCTTGGAAACAATACTGAAAGGTTGGAAGACAGAAATTAAAGAGCCAAAAGAGAAATTGTAAATGCTCTAACAGATTATAGGGAGTAGAAAGAGGGGACTGAAAGGCTGGAAGAAAGAGGTGAAGGAGATAAAAATAGGATGGAAAGGCTGAAAAAAACTAAGTGAAAATGGAAAATAGGTGGAAAGAAGGGCTGGTTACTGAGAATAGCATAGAACCCAAAGTCTAGATTAGAGGATATGTAAATGTGAAAACACGGTGAGAGAAATTAAACATAAAATAATGATTAGGATAATGGCAAAGGAGAAAGTGCACGCAAACAACCAAATAATAACCTCCATTAATTCATCCACAAATTGATTTCGAGTCTCTGTATTTTCTAGAACGGTGAGAGCATCTGATCCACGAGCCACACCTACTGGGACTGGGAAAAAGAAAGAGACATCCAATCTTACACAGTGCAAATTGTGTTAATGAGAAGGTTAAGAACGTATTGACCAGTGCCACTAAGGGGAATGGTGGAAGAAATTAAGCAGAATTCACGCCAAGGTTTAAACAATGTTACCAGGGATAATAAAGACAGGGTGTTGGCCAGGGTCATTAGACAGAATAGAGATGTACAATTAGCCAGTGTAACCAGGGAAAATACAGACACAGAATTTGCAAATGTCACTAGTGAGAGTACAGACATAGGAACAGGGAGAAATAATAGAGAAATAAGCAACCAAAGCAATCAGGGAGAACCTGTACAAATGGATCCGGTAAGAGTGAAGACAAACGACAGATGTAACTAGTGAGAATAGAGACATAGGGACTTTGTAACCGTCAATGTCAGCAGGGAGATTCAATACACGAGGCAGTTCTATCATAAAGAAATTAGGCAAAGTATTGGTAGATGTTAAGTGAGAGAAAAGCAACAAAGGGTTAGACAGGGAGAAATAGGACTGTACAACTGGCTACAAGCACTGTGTGCTGCCATATCAGGTACTCCGGTATTTCATGCCTTACTGACAACAATTATGATGCAGGAAGCAGTTACGCCAGATTCTGTTACGCGGCATGATGAATCACTATGCCTCCTTAACATTACAACAGGAGGTGTAGTGCAGGTTTGAATAAACAAAAGGCTTCTTGTGAGACACACAAGATCTGGAGCATCATACAGACCAGTTTGCACAGGCAATGCCAATATTACTTAACAGTACTGCATTGTGACACCTTTAACCACGACAGGGATTGTGGCAACTTCTAACTTAACCTTTACTGCTAGATATGGAGGAGACTCTTCAGGTTGTAGAGGGTTTATGAATAAAGAAAGAAATAATTTTTTTCTATCCCCCTTTTCGTATACTACTGACAAGTCTAAGGTGCCATTAATAATCAATCTTTTACCAGATAAACAATTGACAACAAGCCTACTGCATGTCAATATCAGGAGTTTGTTACAGGCTTCAGGAGTACCGATGCAGCCAAAACACTTCTTAGACTGAAACAGTGCTCTTGTTTTGTAGGAAAATATACCTTAGATTATTGGACTCTTTCATCCAAAGTCAATTGGAATGAATCTCTGGTGGCTGAATGGTCTTTCTGATACCATACAGGATGAGTAAACAGTCAGGGATCTGCCTGAAGACCTAGAAGATCTCATAATGTACTTGTCATTTATCGATGACAGGTTTAGGCACAAAAGAACAATAGAGAAAGTAAAACGTTCCCTGGTCAGATTGGCTCCTAGGATCATTATTCCTGAAACTCTAGCTTGAACACACTGACCTGGTCAGGCTATTTTAACTTAAAAGTAGCAAAGATAAAAAGGGTCTCTGCAATTATTGTTGAAAAAAGATACATCTCAGGCTTTCCATGTCCAAGTAGACCAGAAAACTTGCGTACCTAAGGTCAGCAAGAAAAATAAGGCCTGAGGTGTGATGAACATGTCTCTCTAAGCCTAAACTATACAATCTTCTGCTTCCTATAACTCTCTATATTCTAGGTTGGCAACATTTTTTAGTGATTTGGGAGAAGACACTGATGGTTGCAGAGGCAATAGATGGTGTATTGCACAATGAAATAATCATATTGTAAGCCTAGCACCCACAAACTATGGAGGTGGTCAAGTGAGCCAATCTGCCCATAAAAGCATATATATATGCATATATAGGCAGATCGGCTCACCTGATCACCTCCTTAGTTTGTGGGTGCTAGGCTTACAATATGATTATTTAATTGCCTTACATCTGAACGTCATGGTCTGAATTTGCCCAGAATAATGCTACTAACACCTATGGGCATCTTGAATTAATTTCACACTTCACTACTTAAGCCCTTGACAAAACTGCAGATCCACTTTATAGTTTGTTCTTAAATGGCAAAGAAGTATATGAGATCCATCCTTGATTACAGAAACTCTTCTTTGGCCTCCAGGATTCACAATGTACTGCATAATTTACATTATTTTCCCTCGTAGTCCTGGGTTAAAAGCCCAGTTGTCTTAGAAGGGGGCAATATAAAGATAATTCTGGCTAGATGCAGTGTGCACCACCATGAAATACAAGAAAATCTTCTGGTATCTTGTGTCTAACTGCAATAATTCTGAAGCAGCACGCTGGTACACCATGTCTTTTAATTTCCCACAACACATGCATTCTATATATTTGTTTGTACTTTACCCGGCTTACTCTCATTTTTTTCTGTTCTCTCAAACTTTTGACTGACTTGGTTTATCAACTCTTAGTGTACATCTCTGGCCTCAGTTTGATCTTGACTACTCTTTTGCCATGTTGTCTCTCTTTAGGCTCTGCATTCAGTCTAGGAGCTTGTAATAAACAACTAGTTTATTATTATTATCTCCTATTAATTCTGTCTGTTAAGTCACTATGACTCACTGATAGGCAAAGGGTTTGCCAGTGTCACCAGGAAGAAATGACAAAAGGTTTGCCAATGTTATCAAGGGTAATCAGGGTTGATGTTCCAGGAGGGATAAGCCAAATGGCAAATGATTTAGGTAAACTAGAAAAATGGTCAGAATTGTGGCAACTGACATCTAATGTGGATAAGTGCAAGATAATGCATCTTGGACGTAAAAACCCAAGGGCAGAGTACAGAATATTTGATAGAGTCCTAACCTCAACATATGAGGAAAGGGATTTAGGGGTGATTATTTCTGATGACTTAAAGGTAGGCAGACAATGTAATAGAGCAGCAGGAAATGCTAGCAGAATGCTTGGTTGTATAGGGAGAGGTATTAGCAGTAGAAAGAGGGAAGTGCTCATGCCATTGTACAGAACACTGGTGAGACCTCACTTGGAGTATTGTACACAGTACTGGAGACCGTATCTTCAGAAGGATATTGATACCTTAGAGAGGGTTCAGAGAAGGGCTACTAAACTGGTTCATGGATTGCGGGATAAAACTTACCAGGAATGGTTAAAGGATCTTAACATGTATAGCTTGGAGGAAAGACGAGACAGGGGGGATATGATAGAAACATTTAAATATATAAAGGGAATCAACACAGTAAAGGAGGAGACTATATTTAAAAGAAGAAAAACTACCACAACAAGAGGACACAGTCTTAAATTAGAGGGACAAAGGTTTAAAAATAATATCAAGAAGTATTACTTTACTGAGAGGGTAGTGGATGCATGGAATAGCCTTCCAGCTGAAGTGGTAGAGGTTAACACAGTAAAGGAGTTTAAGCATGTGTGGGATAGGCATAAGGCTATCCTAACTATAAGATAAAACTAGGGACTAATGCAAGTATTTAGAAAATTGGGCAGACTAGATGGGCCGAATGGTTCTTATCTGCTGTCACATTCTATGTTTCTATGTTTCTAAGGAGAAATTGGAGAAGAAATTGCAAATGTCACAAGGGAAAAACAAAGGATCTAAAACAAAGGGTTAGTCAGTATCACCAGGGAGAATTGAGACAAAGGGTTAGCAATTGTCCCCTGGGAGAAAACACAATTGTTCATGCACTGTAACCAGAAGGAGGTGAAGTAATGCATGAGTCAGTAACAACAGAGGAGAAGTATCAGACAGTGTAAGCGGGGAGAACAGGGGCAGCATGCATATGGTAATGTGCATGTCTTCTGATTAAATAAGAATTGAGATACATCGTTTGCAATGGCTAAAAAGTGCAGGTATTTTTTCATTCTCCTGCTACCCATCGCCCACCGTCATTTCCTGCTTCGACCACTGTGATTATTTCAGCAGCTGGCACCTCTTCACTGTCCCAGACTATAGTGTCTGCTCCCTCTATCTGCAAATACAGAACAGGACGTTAGAATCAACTGCCCCATACCGCATGCCAATTGCTTGTCTAAAGACGTCAATGTGTTTAGCATGCAAGAAATTCTAGCATTAAAAAAGTACACTGTACTAGGTGCAAATGAAAAACCAAAAGACATTTTTAATAAAAACAAACAAAAAACAACTTTCTGCAAGGGTGTGGAGATTTAAAAATAAATATTGGGTTACAATGTGACTAACGTTGTAACCCAATACACTTGTTCCTCATGACAAGCTACTTGTCTTGACCCACAAAATAATTTTAATTAGACATCCTACCTCAGTGTGCTGGCAGTGTTTAGGGTGTCTGGTGTGTGCTTGCTGTGTTTTGTATGAGTGTGTGTGGTATGCGCTCCCTATCTGTAATATTTGGGGGGTTTGTTGTGTGTAATGTGTGTGGTGTGCACTGGCTGAGTGTAACATGTGTGGGTTTAGGTAGTCTGTGTGGAATGTTGTGTGAGAGGTGAGGGCTGTGTGTTTTGCACCTCTCCTGCTTTTATTTCCTGGAGGGAGGAGGCCTGTGGTGGTTTAAATTCCCTGGTGGTCCAGTGGGGGTTAAAATTCCCTGGTGACACAGCAGTGGTTAATAATCCTTGGCGGTCCAGCAGGGATAATATTCCAGGATGAGGACTTTTTTAAGGGGGAAGGGTGGGAGTGAGCACTAGGATTCTGAGTTAAAGCAGGATGCCCAACAGTGAGCAGATCACAAATGCTGCTGCTGAGCCTGATCCCCCAATGCTGACAGGAGGAGGACAGCTCAGGTGGAAGGCACAGCGGCCTGGACACCCTGGTGTGGGAGAATGTGGGTTGCACCTCCATCAATTGCAAACCACAGTAATCGTTCCCTCGTGGTCCGGTGCTCATTATTGAGTGAAGAACTGTAACGAAGCCAAGGTGCAAAGTACACTCGCCCTGACCCAGCACTGTGCCCCTATATTAGTCCAGTGGATTGCGCCGCCCAGAACTGCCTGTCCCAGCCTTCAGGTGACAGGAATCCCCATCCCTGCTTCAATAATAAAATAAGCGGAAAATATGTAAAACACAACACTGAACAAAAAATAAATAAATCAGAGTGACCTGGTGTCCACCATTTTATTATAAAGTGCCTATTAAATGGTTATTTGTGGCAAAATGTTCTTGAGTTTTGCATTTTGATTATTTGTATGTGTTTGTAGTTAGACTGAAGCTTGATTTGTAGTTAGACTGAATCTAAGGTCAGCCTTACATTAATTTATCTTTCAAATGAACCCCTGACACATCTGCTAGGCAGCCACTACATCCATGATCTAGAAACAGGGATAGGCAACCTTCGGCACACCAGATGTTGTGGACTACATCCCCCATAATGTTCTTACACCCATAATGCTGGCAAAGCATTATGGGAGGTGTAGTCCAAAACATCTGGAATGCCGAAGGTTGCCTATGCCTGATCTAGAATTTCCTACATTGTCACACGCTCTAACTTTGACAATCTTTTGTGTTTATTATACATGTTGATATATTTTAAAGTGTTCTTTTGATCAACAGCAGGATCCACAGGCAGCAAAAAGCATCAAACATGGTCTTCATATAGAGCCCCTAATTCCCATACCCCCAACACTCGTATGACTTTGTCAAGTAGTATACATTTCCCATGCTTTCATTTGATATAGCAGTAGAATACAGTAACAATTGTAAAGTTTCCTCTTCCTCTGCTCCTTGGATATGCAGATAGAAATGGCTGACAGTAGTGAAAAATAAGCATCTTTAGTCAATGTTAAACCAGTAAGCAAAATAAGAGGATATAACAATATCTTTGCTATCAGGGCCACAGTATATAATCAGAGCAATTCTCTCCATGGATGCCAACATCGTGGCTTCAGTCTAGGCACATTGTTATCACAGTGTCCTGTACACAACCTACAAGATTGAGAAACGCTTGCTAAATTAATACCACAGTGACCAGTCGCATGAGAACCACCTAGTAGAAAGATTCTCCTGCTTTCCCCTGTCACTCAATACTTTACTTAGAATTGTATGCCACTGACCTAGAAGTCCAACACTGAGGATTAATCTACAGGTGGGGAAGGGACACTATAGGCACACAGCTCATTGAAGTGGTCTGAGTGCAGTGTAACTCTGCAATTTTAATTATTGCAGTTATTCATAAACGGCAATAATTACATTGAAATGTTAACACCACCTCTAGTGGCTGTCTACCAGGGGAATTTCGTGTTTTAGGCAACTTTTGGTTGCCTGATGCTGGACATCCTCACGCTATGCATGAGGACATGCGGCGTACCCCAAAACCCCCAATGGGAAAAGTCCTTATGCAAGCATGGCGCTTGCACATTAGGTCTCTCCATTAGCTGACGGTGGCAGAGCCTGAGCCAGCACTGACAGTCGGCGCTACAATCAGGTGATAGCAGGGGTTAAAAAACCCTTTCTGCTAGTGGAGGGACTATAGGGAGCCAGAGCCCTTAGGAAAACAAATTTGTTTTCCTACCACTATAATTTTCCTTTGAAGTGCATTATATTAAAATGTACATAAAAACGCTATCACAATGTATAGATTCAATGTTATGCGTTTTCATTTACAACTTAGTGGTGTGCTCTATGACAGGTAGACTTATGGCATACAGTAAAAGAAATGGTTGTGACTTGCTGCAATAAGTGTGGATGCAATATGGAAAATGGATATGTCTTATGGTAAATTAAATGTTACTTTGCCTTAGTTGCATGATAACATATTAATATAAGTTGAAAGATGACTCAAGATGATTAAGGACTCTAATGTAATGTCATTAAAGGGACACTGCAGCTCATTGAAGTGGTCTGGGTGCAGTGTCCCTATCCCCCTTAGACATGCAATGTAATTTTTTTGAAAAAATGCAGTGGTTACATTTCAGGACGAAGACTGCCACTTCCTGGTGGTTAGGCGACTTTTGGACGCCTAACAGACACTGAACATCCTCACGCTCTGTGCTCGTGCATTAGTCAGATGACGTCGGAGGAGGCAGAGTGCTGAACCAGCACAAAAGGAAATCAGCGCTGGAAATGGATAAGTGTCAAAAGAACCCTTTCCAAGCGAGGGTGGGTGTCAGAGGGAAATAAAGTGTAAGAAATACAACATTGTATTCCTAACACTATAGAATTCCTTTAAAAAAATATATGTATTTATAATGTTAGAGTGTTCCTCTGCTAGTTTAGATTATTGGCCCCAATTAAAACAAAGAAGTTAAAATCACCTTTTAATAAATGCCATCTCAGTCTAGTCACTGCAGACCCTTAACCTATTCTGATATCATACTGATGGATGATCTTGGAACAATCCAGTGCTTATCATAGTGCAGCATTGGTGCTTTATGGCACATGCCCAAGAATTGACACGCTCAGCCAAATCAGATGCTTCTACACGAGAAGCAATGAGATGCTGAACATGAAAGCTTTCAATTATTTAAAGTCTTCACAAGGAAGTGCCTCTAGTGGCTGTCTGACTGACAGCTACTCGAGTAATTCTGACTGACAGGTGACTTACATTTATCACATTTACAGGGACAGGTTCTTTGCACTAAAATAACTACATAAAGATGTACTGAGAGTGTTTAACACAGTTCAACAAAATGCTTCTTTTAAGGAAATATGGCAAAAGGGAATAATTTAGACTAAATCTTGCTGAAAAATAGGAAATGATGATAACTTATGACTGAGGTGCAGTATAAAAAAGGAAGTTAGCATGGCCGGTGAGCATGAAATATGGAATATAAGGGTGAAATATGGTTAGTGAATGTGGAAATATAATTTAACTCTTTACATTAAATAAAAATATTTTATCATTAATGCTCCTTTAGAGACAATCAGCTCCTTACCTCTGAATCTGCTGTAATACCCCAGTCTATATCGCCGCTTCCTGGGTCTTCCAGTACAATACCCGTATCAGCAGTTTGCCCCCCCAAATCACCCCAGTCAATCTGAGAAAAAATGGAGAATGGGCTGTAAACACATTGAGAAAAACTACTTATTTTGTTTTCTGATGGCCTTCGCACTCACTTCTCCATTGTCTGGAGATTGAGAAATCTCTGTTTCCTCAATCTCTGGCCGCTCCACTCTCTCTGGAACTTCTCCAACATGCCACTCATAGACAGTGGTGTCTCCACGTTCTTGCACATGCAGGAGGAGTGGGACAGCCTGATCTGATGAACTGAGAATAGAAATGGAGTGTATTGCATTACCAAGTATTACTTAAAGTGACTGGAGTAGCCATTAGCTAGTTCTTCATGTTATTTCTGTTTCCAATCAGATTTTTATTAGTTACCATAATCATCCATATTACTATTTTTCTCCTTTGTTCTACAACTGCTAGTATGACACGTCTATCCAGAAGAAATATTTCTAAAAATCAAAGTGTGTTGTCCTGATTCACCCCTCAGTTCTAGGTGCCAACTAAATGAAGCACAAATGTTATGATGGTATATATGAAATAACAATTTAAGAAATCCATGAAGTTTTAGTTCCAACACTTTATGCCAATTTGTATATATTTTGTTTTATTAATATCGTTTTAGAAAATTCCAATCTTGATAATTGCTCTTATTGTGGCTGAAATGTTGCTGGAGAGTTCCAAATAAAATTGCTGTTTTGGGAATTTGTGTGTGCCGGATCATTTTGGCATTAAGAAAAAAAAAAAATATATATGTGCCAAGATAAAAGCATTCCACTTGTTAAATCACGGTATCCCTTGCCATTTACCGAAGTCTCACCTTTCGCAAACAAAGCTCACACAGGCCCGGTACAGCTGGATAGCAGGCAAAAGTGCTGCAGCGTCTGCTCCAACTCGTCTCAGGAGAGACGGGACATCACGAACTAAAAACAGAAGCTCCTTGCGTACATCTTCTCCCTGTGGAGAGAGGAATCATCTTTAGAAAATGTGCAGCAATTTGGGTTCCTGTTCAGTAAAGAAGAAAGACAAAGTGAAAAAGTATACATAGAAGGGAGAAGGAAGGCGTAGAAGTCTTCCCTATCAATAAAAAAGTACTAATACTGAACGCTAGATTTTGATTGATTTAACAATGAATCTATAAAGGAAATATTGGCAGTAGACTGGTGAGTCTCCCTGGAAGATGTCATATTCAGCTTCCTTATAAACAGGTCAAGCAATGGTAATTTTCTATAAGGTAGATGATGTGTTTGTCAAAACTGTCCATTCAGTGCAGTAGACCGAGGGGACCGCAAAACTACGAGAAAATACATTTCTTTTTCTTCTATAAAAAATAGCTAGTTTTACTAAAGCATTGTAAATGGATCCATGCAATAACCAACAAACCGGTGCCCCAAGCACCATAACAGCTATAGCTTGTGGTTATGGAGCCATATACCAATAGGCATTTTCAAGTAGTTTTTGGTCAGACTGTTCTGGAGTGGTTTGACAATTTCAGACGTTTTCCAAGTACTCACAGCCGACCCATCATCTGATGCACAGAGAAGGAGGAAACTACACTTCTGTATTATCTGGACAACATGATAAGCAGAAAGCACTGGGCTAACCTGCCTCCAGCTCACCCAGCCTATCTCTGTTGTCCGGGTAGGACAGTACTCACTTAATGCAGGAAGTGTACTTTTCTTTTCTGTGCACTCTCAGTCACTCACAGGGTATGGGTGTCCGAGACTCTGGTTTTATCAAATAGTTTCAAGAACCAGATATAAATAAATAAATTGGAGATGTGTCCATAGACTTGCCCTTTTTGTCCATTTCCTAGAATAAGGAGAGAAGAAGAACCTTTATTAAATGGAATGGACAGAATATTTAGTGAGCCTCACATTGATCCCATAGCGCTTGCAGCTGCTGTGATACTGCTCCCGTTGTTCTGCTGCTCCATGCAGGCACTCTTCAGCCCGCCGCTCGCTCTCCACGACCAACTGCTGGCAGCGAGATATCTGCTTCCTTAGAGCAGGGATCTCATAAGTCACACTGCGCACCAAGAGACTGCCACACTCCCCTGGGGAAAATGGACACACAAAGTGCTCAAAGTTGCAGTTTATTTTAGGTTAAACTGAGACAGAGCAAGGCACACAACACACTCACCCAAATATGTATTATCAGCCTGGTACAGAGACAGGATTTCTTGCCAATCCTAAAAAGGCCAATAAACATGAGGAATATTGTTAATTATCTGGGAAACAGTGACTAAATGGAAAAAAAAAACAAAAAAAAACTGTTGATGTTTTATAAATTATAGTCCTTGCTACGAACATTAAGTAGATCAGTAGGAAAGAAGTATGAATAGTTTTTTTCTCTATAGCAGGCAATTAGAGGGAAGTGACAGTACTTACTGACCATTTTTGCGCAATTACATTCTGGACTCAATATAAACCTTTTCTGGTGGCCCCAAAGTACATCTTGGGGATCACGGGGTGGACTTGAAAAGGTTCAATATATTATTCGCTTTTCTTAGACCATTCCCAAACCAGCCACAAAGCCTAACCTTAACGGGTTACTTGAACCCTTTTTAAATGCATACAGTTTTTTGTTTTTTTTAACATAACTATAAAAACAAAAAGTTACTACTTACCTGGAATCCATAGCTGAAAGCTAGAAGCTTCCAACGCTGCTTTCCATGACCCCTCCTGAGTACATGGTAGCGGTGCAATGTCCATACAAAGGGTTCTCATAGAGAAGCATTTGACTGAACCATTTAACAAGCTCACATGTGTGCACTCTGAGCCAGCAAGAGAGTGGGAGAGGGAGGTAGGAAAACCAAAATATACTGCGCTGATTGGGTAGGCAGGAGGGCTGCACACAAGTAGCGAGCAAATGAGGGAGTGGACATACTCCTTGCAAGAGACATTCTCCTTGCAATCCTTTCCTGCAATACATCCGTTTCCACTGTGCTGAAACACTGTACATACTGACTCCTGACACCATTAAAATTCTAAAAGCAGAAGTTGTCATGGTCCTTGCAGTAACCCTTTAAAAACATTAAACAAGGGGGGCGTGGCTAACCGCTGAGCAAGATGGACGCTCAGTAATCTGCTCCGGCACATGGGCTCCATCAGAACTGCATTTACAACAAGCTGAACATCATTAAATCAAAGTAAGCATTATGACAACCTCCAAAACAAAGAAGGCTTCCACTAAAGCCGAAAAAACAAACTTTTTCGGCCAGAAACAGGCGCCCACGGCGGATGCAGCGCGGGATGGCGCGGAGGGCCCAGATCCCCATTACACGCCAGCACAGCTTGCAGACCCCCTTCCACCTGAACACCTCACACAAGGACACTTCGAAAATGCCATGGAAGCAATGGCAACTAAACTAATCTGCACCTGGCAAAAAACGGCAGAACAAATCAAGAAGGAGATGCGGGACCTGTCAACCCGCACTGCCACGGTGGAACAACACTGCCAAGCACTCACAACAGTACAGGCAGACATGACAGGGCAGCTGCAAGCCCTACATCTCAAAATAGAAAATATAGAAACCGGTATGGCTGACCAAGAAGACAGGTCGTGCAGAAACAACCTGAGACTGCGCGGCAACCCTGAAGCCGTATCCCCAGACGACCTGCAGCCTTATGTGAGAGGCCTCCTGAACGCTTACGCTCCAGACATCTCGACGGACATGCTCCTATTAGACAGGGTGCACCGGGTGGCAAAGCCGAGATTCCTGCCTTACTCCACGATGCGTGATGTCCTAATCAGGGCGCATTACTACCACATCAAGGAACTGATTCTCAAAGAGTACCGAAGCAGAGCGGACCCACAAGAGGATTACACATCTGTGCGTATCATGACAGACCTCTCGACGGCAACGCTGCGTCGAAGAAGGGACTTCCACCAGGTTACCACGGAACTCCGCAACCACGGAGTTCGCTACAGGTGGGGGTTCCCCACGAAAATCATCCTGACCAGGAACGGGAAAAGTACATACATTGCGACTCCAGAAGAAGGGAAAGCGGCATTGGCAACATGGGGTCTCTCCGACCAGCCTCCAGCGGAAAAACGTCCAACCCCCAACGCTCAAACTACAATGCTACTATGGACTAACACTAATAACCGATTGACCAAGGCATGATTCGTGCAAGTATCATAATTGTAAATATATATGTTGTTATGCATAGCCACAGATTAGCCATCACTTATAAACATACATGTGAGTAAAGCAGCACCAACCTAGGGACGACCCTACCCACATACCGATTTTCACACCTTAAGCATTATGGGGACCTGGTCCAGTGCCCCAATGGGTAAAGAGAGCACCTTAAAACAGCACCCGGGAACACCAAGCGGGGGTCCAGCGAGTAGCCTAGGACAAACAAAGCCTTAGAGGTCGTAGCTCACATCAGGGCAAACCCCAAGCTCACCAAAATAAACAGAGCAACTAACATTAACACCTGAGCCAGTATAACCACCCCCAAGCACCCCGAGGCAAACATAAACAAGGTATGGGTGGGTGCAGCACACGATGCTACCACACTGTGTAACTGATATGGCTAAACGTACAACCAGAGAATGATGATACTGTTGCTTGCACGCCTCTTATCATTATGTTAAATGTTATACTCTAATGCTTTAATGACTTATACCTTACAGGTTTCAATCAATTACGACAAGTTCAGCTTTATTATACCTACAGATACAACAGGGAGTCCAACTAGCCACCGCTTGGAAACTCCCATCCAAAACCCCACGAATAGCGTACCAGACCATAGGGTCTCTGTACATAACACCACAACACAACTAACCCTACCCTCTATCCTTCACCACCCCACCCCTACCCCCTGTTAAACTCAACAAAACCATAAACCTTCAGCACTATCTGACACATACACAGAACTACCCTCCCCTACCCACGTAGCTACCACCATGATCATCTACTCTCGCAACACAAAAGGCCTCAACACACCACACAAAAGGCGCATTCTCCTGGAGGATCTAAAAAAACAAACAAAAGCAGACATAGTCTGCATACAAGAGACACATTTTGTCACCAACCGCATCCCCACATTCGCTACCAGAGAATACGCCACACAGTACCATGCAACGCACACATCCAAATCGAGAGGGGTCTTGATTTTGTTACACAACTCTCTCACCATGGAACTACTCAGCATCCACAAAGACAACCAGGGAAGATATGTGATCCTACACTGCATAATCAACAATATCCCGCTTATCTTAGTATGTCTATATAGCCCAAACGAACAGCAACGCAATTTCCTACACAAGGTCCTTAACAAACTACCAGGGGACTCGACCACCCCCACGATCATTTGCGGTGACTTCAACAACACTATGGACATCAAAAAGACACCACAAGCTCAAGCCCAATAACAAAGCATTCACAAAACTCCTCCATGAATATGGGCTATACGATGCCTGAAGAACACGACACCCATCAACAAGAGAATATACATTCTTCTCACAAGTACATAAAACCTACTCCAGAATTGACCACATCCTTGTATCCGGCCAACTTCTCCCACAGATAGAGGGCTGTGCTATAGGGAACATAGTATGGTTCGATCATGCCCCACTGACTCTGACCCTACAATCCACCTACCAACACCGAGGTAAGCCCCCGTGGCGCCTCAATGACTCGCTTCTACAGGACACGCAATTCACTGCACAGCTGACTGCAACCCTACTAGACTACTTCCACCTTAACGACAACTCCGAAGCCTCAGCCTTCTCCATTTGGCAGGCCCATAAAACAGTCCTGAGGGGACAACTGATAAACCAAGCAGCATATCTCAAACGCCAACGCAACAGAGAACATACGGATCTCCTCAGAAACTTAAGGGACACCACGACCCTACATCTCCTGAACCCATCCGACACCAGCGCGGAAGCTATAAAACAAATCACCTCACAAATCAATGCACTAACACTAGGGAAAACGGCCCATATTCTTACCAAATTAAAACTGAAAACATACACACAGGGCAACAAAACAGGGAAGCACCTGGCCAACCTACTCAGGCAAAAACAAGCAAATTCCAAAATCCCACATCTAATCATGAACACAGGGGAGAAACTGCACAACCCACAGTCGGTATAGCCGACTACTATCACTCACTCTACAACCTAAAATCAGACCCAACTCTACACCAATCGTCAACAAAAGACATAGATGACTTCCTTCAAACTACAACACTACCCAAACTAACGCCCACACAAAGAGATACTATACAAAGCCCTGTTACTACGCAAGAAATATTAGACACTATCCAATCCCTCCCGAACGGGAAATCACCAGGCCCAGAAGGTCTGACCAATTCATATTATAAACAGTTCGCAACTATTCTAGCCCCCCAACTAAGGAACACATTTCACTATGCCTTACAGAAGGGGATGATGCCATCAGAGATGCTCATGGCACATGTCGCCACGCTCCCCAAACCAGGAAAGCCCCCGACCCGCTGCCCAAACCTAAGACCCATCTCTCTGTTGAACACAGACGTGAAAATTATCGCCAACATTTTTTCCAACAGATTGGCACCCATTATCCCCACAATTATAGGCGAGGATCAAGTGGGGTTTGTGGGAGGTAGACAAGGAGCGGACGGCACACGCAAAACCTTAGACTTACTATATGAGATAAAGGGGAAAAAAGATCCCAGCGTATTACTATCCCTAGATGCAAAGAAGGCCTTTGATAGGCTTCACTGGCCCTTTCTACTGGCAGTCCTGAAGAAATTCGACTTTCCACCACAGTTCCTATCATTAGTCACCGCACTATACTCCTCCCCAACAGCACGAATGGTAAATGGGGGATTCATATCAAAACCATTTCACATTTCAAATGGCTCCAGACAGGGCTGTCCACTCTCCCCGATACTCTACATTCTGGCGTTGGAACCGCTTACCCAACTAATACGATGCAACCCAGACATACATGGGATTAAAACTAGAGGCAGGGAATATAAAATGTCACTATTTGCTGATGACATCCTGCTAACACTTGAACAACCACACATATCCCTACCTAATTTCCACAAGATCCTCTCCCTATACAGCAAGTGCTCCTACTACAAACTGAACATAGCAAAAACACTAGCCCTAGGAATTAACATTCCCAACCCAGACCTGACAACCCTAAAAACGAACTTCAACTATGACTGGAGAAAGGACCACATCAAATTCTTAGGGGTCAACCTGACACCAACAACACACAAGCTCTTTAAGGCAAACTACACCAAACTGACAACCGAAATCAAAAGTATTCTCCAAAACTGGAAGGGGAAATACATCTCATGGTCAGGCCGGATAGCCTCAGTGAAGATGGTAATATTGCCAAAAATCCAATACCTCTTCCGCACACCACTCGCTCTCCCAAAAAAGTACCTACTAGAACTGCAAAATACTCTAAATAAACTACGTCTGGGATTATAAAAACCGAGAGTGGCAAAGGCTACAATGTACAAACCGTTCGCCCAAGGCGGGATGGGCCTCCCCGAAGTAAGAGGCTACTACCGAGCGGCTCAAATAGCACCGCTGTTGACGGCGTCGCATAACTATAACCCAACAGCATGGACCGAAATAGAGAAGAACCATGCAAAGGGACTTGCACTACCAATTCTGGCATGGCTACCCAAAACCCACAGACCCCCTCAATATGGGACAGCTATAGGAAAAAGATGGGAGCAACGACAACACTATCCCCAGAAATCCCTATAGAAGCACTATGATTATTCATCCCCGACTTTAACCACAAGCTCTGGCAAAGACATGGGGTGGCAACCGTGTCTCAACTGCTACAGAACAACAAACTCAAGAAATTTTCAGACCTAGGAACAGAATACACTCTGCCATCCACAGCAACCTTCTCTTATCTACAAATACAATCTTGGACGAACTCCCAACCGGCACAACCAGAAGCACAGATACCAGCCCCACATTGGGATAAAATAATACAGATATGCACCAAAACTAAGACTACAAAGAAACTCATATCCTTGATTTACACCTCTGAACATACACAATGCCGAAAACAACCACCCTCCTTCAAATCTGCATGGGAAAAGGACATCGGACGCCCGCTCACGGAACAGCAATGGCAAGACATCTACCAAGCCCACAAACGACTAACACTCTGCAGAAACCACCTAGAACTTTCACGCAAGCTACTCTACAGATGGTATTTAGTTCCCACAAGACTCAAACACAGCTTCCCTGATACATCTGACACACGCTGGAGATGCCAAACAAACAAAGGAACTCTGATACATATATGGTGGCACTGTCCACTGCTTCAACACTACTGGACACAAGTTGCAAACCTAACGACCCGATGTACGGGGCTGAAACTACCCTTAACACCTGAAACGTTCCTCCTACTTCTGCTCCCACAGGAGCCATATACACACACCTCAAATATATGACATACCATATTATCATTGCGGCTCTCACTGTCATAAGCAGACAGTGGAAGCAAACAACAACCCTAACGCTCAAACAATGCATAGAAACAATAGAGCACGCCAAACTATATGAAACTTTAGCAAGGAAGACACAGCAGAAAAGCTTCCACTGGTCAGCGGCGTGGGACAAAAACAAACCCCATTAACATGACACACAAGATCATAAAAACCCTCACGGAGAGGGAACGAATACGTCCAACTACGAAAACCTCAATTGAACAGTATATAACCTATATGAACCCAGCTACATCCCTTCATGTCCCGATTGACCCCCCCCGCACATCCTCCATCCCCCCAGCCGACCCAAACCCCGAACACTCACCAATGAGGCAGGTAACATGCGGAGCCTTGGTACCAAACATGACAGGGCATGATAGCTAATAAACCCAGGCCATCACGAGTAAGACCTCAACAGAAAAGGAAGAAAATGGTGTTTATGAGTGGGTTAAACAGATATTACAGCCACTGTTTAACCCACTCAGTTGTGACACACATAGAGTTCTCAACCTTAACAAAAATGTAAACTTAACCATGATAATGTACCTGCAACAAGCAAATGTGAAATTATCTACTATGAACCCCTCCCCTCTTCCTTTTTGTACCCTATTACATTTGAAAATAAAAATTGTCAAAAAACAAAAAACATTAAACAATAAGTCTAACCACTTACTCAAATGCCTGAACGCAATCTATGGCACTAACACAAACCCTAACCGTAACTATTTAGGACATAAAATATCAGGTGATTTTAGTATCTCATAATACCTTTTTATTGGACTAACATAATTTAGAAAGAAGCATCCAGTTCTCAGGTCTAATTCCGTAAAAGTAGATGGAAGTCCAGAAGCAAACCAAATGTTGGTGCTTTTGCATTCAAATCCTCAAAATAGGGAGGGCGGAGCCTGACCGTGCTGGAAGATGGCAGCATAATCTGAACGCACGGCTCTAACCCTGCTAGAATCTACAGCCATCACAAGCATCCGTACCCGTTTTACCCTCCAAACCCCTGTGAACAACGGTGACACTACCCACCGCTACCACTCACCTAATGGGAGGATGAAAGTCCAGAAAGGCCCCGATCTTTCGCGCTAGGCCCAAAAAGCCGCAGACACTATCCCCCGACTCCGATATGAGCAGCGCAGCACAATCTGAAAGCCCAAGTGCCCCGCTCACTCGCAGAGACATGAAAGGCTTCATTAACCACTCTTAAATCCTATTTGGCAGAGGAATTACACGCGCACTTTCAACCCATCACGGCGGGAGTGGCAGACCTCGTGGCGCAGGCCCGCAAGGTAGAAGATAAAATGGAGGAATTAGTGGAGGTACTAAACAACCACGATGCAGACCTCCAAGACATAAAAGAACAACTCCGCCTGCAGGAGGAGGCCAACGAGGACCTGAGCAACAGGACCAGCCGCAACACCATCAGGCAGAGGCAGTCTCCGTGGAGATGCTGCAATCAACCCTCACTGAGGTATTTCAAAGCCTTCTACCAGAGGCCTCACCAGCCGACCTCCTTATGGACAGAGCCCACAGAGCACTGAGAGCCCCCAGCATTAATGACAGTACACCCTGTGATGTAATAGTGCGAATGCACTTTTTCCATATAAAGGAAAGGCTGATGCAAATAGCCACAGATTCACCCATCACGATAGAAGGCGCCAACGTCCAAATTTTACAGGATCTGGCACCCAGCACACTAAGGGGAAGAAGGGATATACGCCCACTTACACAACTAACGCAACAAGGGCCACGCTATGCATAGGGTGACCCATTCAAAATAATTGTTCACAATCTCTCAAGCTGAAGAAATCCCAGTCCTACTGGAGAAACTCTGCCTACCAGCGGTGTACCCTCCCTCAGCAGCCCAGACTCGAACGACAAAGACCCCTGGCTCCCTTATGTAACCAAGAAGGTTAGTGTTAGTCTATGTTCGGGGAAACTTACCCGAACATAGACGAACGCACCAGAGCAGGGAACCCCTTTAATCTATGTTCAGGGTAATTTTCCCAAACATAGATTTGAGGGATTCCTGCTCTGGTGCGCTTTTCTATGTTCGGGGAGGTTTCCCCAAACATAGACATGCGCACCAGAGCAGGGAATCCCTATGATGGCTCGTACTTACGCCTGGTCGTAAACGCGAGCTGTCGTAAAATAGGTAGGTCGCTAAATGAGGACCCCCTGTGTTACAAAACATTCGCCGACCAACTTTACCGCATTTCTGCAAACTATTTAACTCACTCCTACAAGGCAACGCAATCCCCGTAGACATGCACACATTTGCCTCATCCCCAAACCATGGAAAGACCACCTAGGACGTCCAATTTTCTTATTAAACGTAGATGTGAAAATCATTACAAAGATTCTTGCAAACAGGCGTCCTCCTCAAAATCATACACCCGGACCAAGTCGTATTCATCCCCAGGCGTCAAGCAGCGGATAACATGCGCAGAACATACGACACAATCTGGTATGCCCGTAAACGCCATATTCCCACGGCAATCATTTCCCTATGCGGAAAAGATTTCCCTATGCGCAAGATGCGGAAAAGGCGTTTGGTCGCCTCCTCTGCCCCTTTTTGTTTCAAGTACTGGCACACATAGGATTTCCCCCCCTATGTCCTCAACATTATAAAATCGCTCTTCGACCACCCACAAGCACATCTCTTACTTCCAAACGTAATAGAACCCTACATGCCGATCAGTAACAGCCCCTTCTCCCCCTCCTCTTCGCCATCCCCCTTGAGCCACTGCTACAAGCTATCCACCCTAATATCACTGGTGTACAAATCAGACAAGATACATACACAATCGCAGCATACGCAGATGACATCCTGCTTACACTGACGAACCCGGTAGACTCTATCCACGCCACACTCACACTAATAAATCACTACGCCACCTTTATAGGGTACAAAATTAATCTCTCAAAATCCGAACTGATGCCACGGAGTATAGACAACACACAACTACGTGTCAACAGAGCCACTTTCCCACTTAGAATCACACAGACCCCTCTCACTTACCTAAGAATTCGCATATCATCCAATCTAAAAGATGCCTACTCCTTAAACTACACACCAGTGATCAACGCAGCCTACACAGAGTTACAAAGATGGCAAGCCCTGAACATATCTTGGCTAGGCCGCGTCACGTCGATCAAAATGAATTTGCTCCCACACTTCTTATACGTCTTCCAAAGCTTGCCAATCTCCCAGATTTCAAACGACTCCAAGCCGCTATCAACATTTTTATTTGGAACAACAAGAAACCGAGAATCAGACGCACCTCGATGTATGTACTGACATCACGCGGGGGCCTAGGCCTACCCAACTTCGAACAATATTTCCATGCAGCCCAACTGGCGCTCATCACCGGGCGAAAAACGATGGGTAGATATGGAGCACAATATCCTAGAATGGAACCTCCCCACACAGTACATGTGGGTCCCCCCAGACTTACAGACCACTCCTACCACCCACTTCACCGGCAATAGCCCACACCGTAACCCTATGGGACGCATTGAAAATTAAATATGACCTCTCCTCCTTCCTATCCCCACTCATTCCCATCGATCGCAACCACCTCTTCCTCCCAGTGATGACCCCCAAACACTTTACTAAAATCGAGACATCTCGAGACTGCTCCACTTGTACTGACAATATAAGGTCATTGAATACTCAGACTTACCCAACCCTGACGCACTTCAGATCACTACACACAACTGCAGGATCTAGTTAACTCCCTGGTAATCTGACAACCCGCTACAGCCCCCCAAGGAACCCAGCGACTGGCACGACATATGGGAAGCGATGCGCTCCCCGACAACATGCATCACACATAAAGAGCAAGCCTATAAAATGCTTTTCGTTGGTATCTCACACCCGACAGACTACACAAAATGGGGAAAAACCCCACGGATCAATGCTGCAAGCAGTGCGGAGAACAGGGGACGTTTCTCCACGGTTGGTGGGACTGCTCAAAACTCTAACTTTTCTGGACACAAATTCACTTTCTACTCCAGCAGGACATCACCACACCCGTTCCAGCCGAACCATTGACAATGCTACTGTCCAAACCAAGAGACTCCCTCACCACTAGTGAGAACAAACTGATAGCCTGAATAACACTGGCAGCGCACTGAGCAATCGGAGAAATAAGGGCAGACCAACGTATAACCAACCTAGAAACAGTAAAGCCTAAAACCAGAGAAATGCACCACTTGGACAAATAGACAGCCAGATACATGACACTCAAAAGACATTACACAAAATATGGGATCCTTGAACAGCCAGAGGCCTCTAACCAGAGGACAACCCCTCACAGGACACCACTACGGGATCACACAGGAAGTACATACAGCTACCCCACCTAGCTGCGCCATAGGCAAATGCACCCCACTGCAGAACCCAGGACCAACCCATGCAGTCAAGAATAGTCTCCCTCTTATGTTTTTCCTTGGTTTTTTTCTTCCTTCTCTCCCTTTCTCCTTTCCACCTTCCCTTCCAACACCTATCTTGCTTCGGGGGAGAGGGCGCGGGAGGGTGGCTCCCGGCGACCCTACTTTACACCATCTTATCTCACCATCTTATGCCTACCTTGAAATGTGGCATTGAGCTGCATCCGTTGTACATAGTTCCTCAGTTATACCTTCTTGTTAAACGTCCCTCACCCCTCCCCAACCCGATCAACCCGATCAACCCCACACCGAAACACCATCGCTCACCCAAACTGCAAGGAGATCTACACCCAATGCTACCACCAAGCATGGACCTCAAGGTAAACAAAATCCATGCCTCCCCAACCTGAGCACCGCTCAATAAGGGAGACCACAACACGACCCCCCAACACCTGAAGGCCATGCATGAAAAACCATGGGATTCCACCAACCTCACTGGCACAACTCACAAAAGACAATACAAATGGGGGTCTAAGGGATATAACACCACTGTCCAGCGAAAAAGTTAATAACCAGATGTATCAATAATGTTACACTCAAATGTATGTTGTATTCACTGTGGACCACTGTACCACCATTTATCCTTGTTTAAAAAAAAATAACAAAAAAATAAACAATAAACAAAACAAAAAAAAATCCACAAAACACAGGCGAACTAAAGAACTTCTCTTAAGACTGTGCTGCCATTTACTACCAATTCAACATCAAGGTAAAATCCATGCTTCCAGAAGGTCATAAATACTCTGTATCAGGCAATGAGGAGAAAAACAAAGTAGGAGATGGCGCACACATTCAAGCAAAAAGAATATGCATTAATGTATACAATGATCGCCTACAAAATTAAACCACTTACAGGTGAAGTGAATAATTCTAAAGAAGCCCAATCTTGACCCTAACTCCCCATCCAACTATCGTCCTATCTCGCTAGTGCCTTTTGCATCCAAGATCCTTGAAAAAATTGTGTATGCGAGATTGACAGACTTCCTCGAGTCCAACTCTCTGCTAGACCCGCTTCAGTCTGGTTTCCACGCTAAGCACTCTGTGGAAACGGCACTGACCAAAGTATCCAATGATCTACTCACTGCAAAATCTCGTGGTCACTACTCTATCCTAATTCTCCTTGACCTGTCTGCGGCTTTTGACACTGTTGATCATCAACAGCTTCTTCTCATCCTCCGCAATATCGGTCTACAAGATATTGCTCTCTCCTGGTGCTCCTCCTACCTCTCCCAGCGCTCTTTCAGTGTTTCTTTCTCTGGCTCTGCTTCTTCTCCCCAACTCCTCTCTGTTGGTGTCCCTCAAGGTTCAGTCCTTGGTCCCCTACTGTTCTCCATCTATACTGCCTCCCTTGGTAAACTCATTAGCTCCTTTGGCTTCCAATATCATTTCTATGCAGATGACATGCAAATCTACCTGTCCTTTCCTGATCTCTCCCCGTCCCTCTTGACTAGTGTCTCTGACTGCCTCTCTGCTGTTTCTAACTGGATGGCTGCCCACTTCCTTAAACTAAACCTGACCAAAACTGAAATTCTGGTCTTTCCTCCCTCAAGTGTTGTTACTCCTGTGTCTGTCTCTCTCCAAGTCTACAGTGCTACTATCAGCTCCACCACACAGGCTCGCTGCCTAGGTGTTCTCTTTGACTCCGACCTCTCCTTCAAGCCTCATGTTCAATCTATCGCCAAATCCTGTCATTTCCATCTCAAAAATATTGCGCGCATCCGCCCTTACTTAACACCAGATGTGACTAAGGTGTTGGTCCATTCCACTGTCCTTTCTCACCTTGACTACTGTAATCCGCTTCTCAGTGGTCTTACGTGCTCCCAACTAGCGCTGTTACAGTCTATAATGAATGCGGCGGCGAGGCTCATCTTCCTGTCCGCCCGCACCTCCCATACCTCACCCTTCTGTCAGTCCCTACATTGGCTTCCTATAAAATATAGAGCTCAATTTAAAATTCTGGTTCTTGCTTTCAAATCTCTACATAATGCTGCTCCCACCTATCTATCCTCCCTTATACCCAAGTATGTCCCGTCTAGGCCCTTACGATCTGCTGAAGACTTACGTCTATCGTCTGTCCGTACTCCCACCTCTGATGCTCGCCTTCAAGATTTCTGGAGGGCTGCACTGTTCCTGTGGAACTCGCTTCCCTCCTCCGTTAGATGCTCACCCAGTCTCCACTCCTTCAAAAAATTGTTAAAAACCCACTTCTTCATAAAAGCGTATCAATTAAACTGTTAATAGCTCCTAACTGATTCCTCTTCTGCAACTGTCATTAGTTTAATACTATCCTTACCTTTTTGTGTCATTTTACCCCACTCCCTCTAGCATGTAAGCTCATTGAGCAGGGCCCTCAACCCCTCTGTTCCTGTGCGTCCAACTTGTCTGGTTACAACTACATGTCTGTTCGTCCACCCATTGTAAAGCGCTGCGGAATTTGACGGCGCTCTATAAATATCATAATAATAATAAATAATAATAATAACAACATTGATTATATCATTACAATGTCACCTGGCAAGGTGTGGGTAGCAATTGAACAGTCAGTTCTCGAATTTCGTGGGTTAAAAGCAGGAAAATGGGAATGCGAAAAGATCTGAGTGACTCTGATAAGGGTCAAATAGCAATGGCTAGACAACTGGATCAGGGCATCTGCGTATGGAGCTGCGTAGCCATAAACCAGTCAGAGTGCCCTTGATAACTCCTGTCCACCGCCAAAAGTCTTTTCATGTGGAGACGTGAGCATCAGAACTGGACCAGGGGGCAATGAAAATGATAGTTGCCCGGTCTGATGAATCATGTTTTCTTTTAGATAAAGTGGATGGCTGGGTGCGTGTGCGTTGTTTACTTGAGGTAGAGATGGCAGCAGGATGCACTATGAGAAGAAGGCAGGCCAGCGGAGGCAGTGTTATGCTTCTGCTGGGAAACCTTGGGTCTTGGCATTCATGTGGCTGTTACTTTGACAACCTACCAAGAGACTGTTGCAAATCACATACACCCTTCCATGGCAATGGTGTTCCATATGACAGTGGCCTCTTTCAGCAGGGTAATGCACCCTGCCAAACTGCAAAAATTGTTCGGGAATAATTTGACGAACATGACAAAGAGTTTAAGGTGTTGTCTTGGCCTCCAAATTCCCCAGATGTCAATCCGATTGAGCATCTGTGGGATGTGCTTGAACAACAAATCTGATCCATGTGAGGCAACTCGCAGGACTTTCAGAGATCTTGTGGAGTCCATGTCTCGACGCATCTGAGCTATTTTTGCAGCATGACCTACACGATATTAGGCATGTGGTGTTGTGGCTGATCAGGGTATATATATATATATAATATAAATATAATTACATAGTAATCTAGGTTGAAATTGTTGTTTCCAGTTTGGCTACTTTGACCTTATATTTGAAACTCACTTTAGTGACTAACCCTACTAGAGTGGAGGGGTGGGGCAGGGGGGATAGGGGTACATACTCGCTTTAGTGTTAATCCTGAAAATATAGGCAGTATTTAAGTAGATTTTTCTATTTTGTTTTAACTACATCTTACAGCAAAATACCTGGAAAAATAGTATTGACAAAAACAGACAGTGTCTGGGTGGATTTCCTGTAATTTTTTTCCCATATATATTTTTTTATGAAGGCAGTATCAATGCATTAACCAAGACTAAAGTACAATTAGTATAATTTGCCAGGTTTTTGTTTTTTTATTTACTTTATAAAAACAATTAAACAATGGGGTAAACAAAGGCCAAGTTAGAAAACAAATACAATAAGGTGAACAATGGGTGTCTGTATAAGAGTGTTGGCATACCTTCATTCTCTGAGAGGAGTATCTACCAAACAGGTTCTTGGTAGCAGCCTCTGTTGCTTTCAGGATTTCCACAATTCTCAGACAGTGGAAGTAATTAATATCTGGAACAAATCATTGTGTATTAGAATTGAGCACCCAAACTGTACAATGGCATATTAGACACATTATGAAATCACATTCCTTTCTCACAAAATATCTGTATCACAGTAAATATTAAAGTTCCCTCCCGTCTCTCGGGTCATATATCCCTGCATCTCACATATCCCTTGACAACTCAGCCTGAATCCTCAAATATCCTTCTCCCTCACACGTAACTGAAGCCTTGTTGACACGGAGTTGCAGATTTACTAGGTTTACTTTAGATAGCATATCAACTGCCACTCAGAAACACATCTATATCATCCATAATTGACTAAATGTCAGAGATGTATGAAGTGTGGGAAATAATGCTATAGTGGGGTTCTGGTGACATATATAAACATGAATTATAAACTATGAGACTGATGCTTGAGAACTGAATGTCTCCAGAACCCTGAGATGTCAGTATTTAACCACAATGCACGCTTCAGGACTATGTATGCTGTATATAATATCTCCTAAAAACAGGATTAGGGTACATAAAATTCCCAGTCTAGTTGGGGTTACACTACCTGGCAGCAGCTCTATTTGTGGCTGCTGCTTTTAATCCAGCCCCTCTCCCATTTCAGATATGTTTTGAGGAGGAGCTGGGGAGACAGAGACAGGAGTGTATCGTTCTACCTAGCCCCTCTCCGGGCACAGCATTTACAAGAGATGGCAAATAGCATCTGCTACCTAGGAGTGCAATTCCAACTAACTGTGGGCAGCTGTATGTCCAGCTGTTAGCCTCAGAATAGCAGTATTGAGCCATGCTTCATTGTGGGTGGTAAGAGCCCTGGGACACACATCTGACATAGATTACTTGTTTTTATTGTAAATATGTGTGATAATTGCCTGCAATGCATGTAATGATGAAAATGATGAAATTAAAGAAATGTAGACAGGGTATACACTTTCCTGAATAAAACTTTGGGCACACAGTCAAGAGTCCCTGCATTCAACATAGGCAGTTAGACAGGGTGAGCCAACAATCAGAAGAGAATTTGACAGGTTAAGGACTTATTTGTTAGTAGTTCCATTGTTTTGTTTTTTTCATGTACATATTATAACTGGGTATTGTGAGATTCATGAGGAGTAATTTTTTAAACAAAGGAACAACGAGCAAAAATAGTGACTTTTTTTTCAAAATGACAGGACTGTTATTTTGACGCAAATAGAAAAAAGTCGTAAAATGTGATTTTAACAGGCTTGGGCTACAAACACAGTCAAACAAATCTCTATACATTAAGCATTAATTGTATGTAATGTTATTGAAACTAGCTCATCAATGAAAAAGTTATTGACTCCTCAAACCCTAATCTGAATTTTGGCCCACCATGTGTATTATATATCCTCCACGGTTCTCTTATTTATTGACCTAGATATTCTAGTAGTGTGCATACAGAACCCTGCCAAACTAAAGAGAAGGTAGCCAGCAATGTCCAGTGTTAGAATTGACATTCAGAGGTCATAGCACGTTTTGACAGCATGGCTCACAGGAATTGGTTCAGGTAACCTTACACTAAGGGAAATGAAATGTTCTTTATCACTAATGAGTTTATTCTGATGTTTTTTATAATTCCCATTGACATTGTATTATGTTTTATTGAGGGCACAGGTTGGGCCTTGTACCTATTGCTGTTTGGTTTTTTTCTGTTTTTGAAATCACATTTTTATCAAAGATTTATGAAAGGTGCAAAATAGAAGGACAACAGAAACAAAATAAGGGGGAATACAAACTGCATTGTTTCTCAACAGAAAACAAGTCTTACACACAGGGTTATTCACAAAAGTGTGAATTGTTGGGAATTCCAAGTAACTTTAAAGGGAGACTGTAGGCACTTTAATAACTTTATCTTATTGAACTTGTTATAGTGCCTGCAGTTCTGCCCAACGGCCCCCGTCCAAACCCGCCAAATCATTTATTTTACCAATTAGAAGGCTTGGATGCATGGCTTCAACCCACTACTCCAAGTATCAGAGAAGGGAATCTTACTTCCCATCTCTCATACTGTGATGTCATGCATGCATGCAGGGACGTATTAGCCGCGAGGCAAACAAGGCATTTGCCTTGGGCGGCATTTTTCAGGGGGCGGCAAAAAACGCCGCCCCCCAAATGCCCAGGGCAGATGCCTTGTTAGCCTCGCGGCTAACTGACATCCCGGGCGGCCGGCGAGGGAGCACTTCCCATGAGCTGACTGCTCAGCTCCCTCGCGCACCGCAAAGTGAGGCTGGGAGCCGGAAGATGACGTCATCTTCCGGTTCCCAGCCTCACTCTGCAGCCGACGCGCGAGGGAGCTGAGCAGTCAGCTCATGGGAAGTGCTCCCTCGCCGGCCGCCCGCCCGCCTGCCAGCGCCGCCCGCCCTGCAGCCACTGGACCACCAGGGAGAGAGACCCCCCCCCAGCACTCCCAAAGGTAAGGAGGTTGGGGGGGGATTTAAATAAAAAAAAAAGTTAATGTGTGTGTGTGTTTGTGTCTGACTGTGTGTGTGACTGTGTGTGTGTTTGTCTGACTGTGTATGTGTCTGACTCTGTGTGTGTGTGTGTTTTGGTATTACTGACTGTGTTTGTGTCTGTGTATGTGTCTGACTGTGTGTGTGTGTGTTTGTGTCTGACTGTGTTTGTGTCTGTGTCTGACTGTGTGTGTGTGTCCCAGTTTGTGTCTGACTGTGTGTGTCTGACTGTGTGTGTGTGTTTGTGTCTGACTGTGTATGTGTGTGTGTGTGTGTCTGACTGTGTGTGTGTTTGTGTCTGACTGTCTGTGTATGTGTGTGACTGTGTGTGTTTGTGTATGTGTCTGACTGTGTGTTTGTGTATGTGTCTGACTGTGTGTGTGTGTGTTTGTGTATGTGTCTGACTGTGTGTGTGTGTGTATTTAGAAGGTGGGGCGGGGGGAAGGGTTGGGTGGGGGTGGCGCGGGGGGGAGGGGGGCGCCTGAGTTTTGTCCTGCCTAGGGCAGCACAAAACCAGGATACACCACTGCATGCATGCGCAGTGCTGCAACAGTGAGCCATAAATAATTGAATACAATACTTCTCTATGAAAGAATATTAGGCGCATCGCGAGGAGGAGATTGTGGCTACGTCAAGGAAAAGGTTAGTAATTCATTCATTTTTACTTATTTTGATTTTACCTTTGTACAGTTGGGGGGAACAATATGACAAGGGGCACCAAGACTGGTGAGGACTACAATGTGATAAGGGGCACCAGAAAGTATTTCTAATGCTACAGTATTCCATTACATTTTTATGCTAACATATATGAAGCATGACATTTTCCAATTTGGCTATTTTGTCCTTAAATTTTACATTTACTTTTAATTCACTTGAAATTCCCATCAATTCAGTCCTATTAAATGTAATATTGATGGCTAAAACTTCCACACATCCTCGATTCTTTATTTAATGCAATATGCAAATTCTATCATCTCACATGTGCCAGATAGCAGACTCCTGATTTCCTCATGCTCCGGCATGTCCTGCAAGGCTTGGTTAATCTTTTCTCTGATCTGCAGTACCTTGCTCTGCCACTTGAGTGTGCAGTGCCTCCGGTCCACCAGCCAGTCTAAAAGAGCATACATAATGAAGCAAATTAGTATCAATCAGAAGAACATAAAATAAATAATATTCCAAATAGCTTTACCAGTATGTGCGGACTATAAACTATAATTTAGTATCACCATTTTGTCTAAATCTGTAGATCTGTGCAGGTATAAAACATGGGGCACACACAGATGTGAACACATTAAAAATATATTTTGTAGAGTAATTTACCAATGTCTCCAGAACCCTAAAATGGCATTAATTTGGTCTATATAATGTCCCCAACACTTCTGTGTGGAGAATCACTGGATTGGCTGAGATTCTGTAAGGCTTTCCTATGGGATTTTGGGTGACGCTGGATTGTAATAATGGCAGTTTCTCAATAACTGCAATATTTACTGTTACAGGGTTAAAGGGACTGGGACAGTGCACCCAGACCCAAGCAGATAAAAGATAATGTTATTTCCTAGTTTGGTTGGCTCAGTAAAGCTAAACCCAAGAGGTAGGCAATTGCTCTGAGCACTTGCCTGGACAAGACTTCTCATTGAGCTACATAGGAAAGTCTGTGATTGGACAGCCACAGAAAGTCTGTGTGGAGTTAGAAGGGGAGGTTGCAGCTTTTTTTCAGCTGTTTTTAAATATCTGGAATAAATGATTGTGTATTTTGTTTTTCATTTGGGGTATATCTACTAAACAGTCATTTTGATTTATTTCATATTTGGGCAGTGAAATGGCCCTTTAACCTCTTTGTGACCAGACCGCTTTTCAATTTTCTTACCATTTGGGACCAGGGCTGTTTTTACATGTCTGCGGTGTTTGTGTTTAGCTGTAGTTTTCCCTCTTACTCATTTACTGTACCCACACATATCATGTACCGTTTTTCTCGCAATTAAATGGTCTTTCTAAAGATACCATTGTTTTCATCATATAATTTACTATAAAAAATTATAAAACATGCTGAATTGTTTTGTAAAAAAAAACACACTTTCTACAAAATCTGTTACGCATCTACAACTGCCAAAAAAATACCCGTTCTAAATAGTTTCTAAATTTTGTCCTGAGTTTAGAAATACCCAATGTTAACATGTTCTTAGCTTTTTTTGGAAAGTTATTGGGCAATAAGTACAAGAAGCACTTTGCTATTTCCAAACTTTTTTTTTTTAAATTAAAGGAGCACTATAGGGTCAGGAACAAAAACCATGTATTCCTAACCCTATAGGGTTAAAACCACCATCTAGCCACCCTGGTCCCCTCATGCCTCTAAAAATAAAGTAAAATCTTACTTGAATTCAAGCCTACAGCTACATAGTTTGTCCCTGTTTCTTTTAGACCTGCCCACTGCCTGTTTACATAATCAGAAATGGTTGCCTGAGCTAATCACAATGCCTCCCCACAGGATTGGCTGAGACTGACAAAGAGGCAGTTCAGGGGCAGAGCCAGCATGATTCAAACACAGCCCTGGCCAATCAGCATCTCCTCATAGAGATGAATTGAATCAATGAATCTCTATGAGGAAAATTCAGAGTCTGCATGCAGAGGGAGGAAATACTGAATGTTTGGATGCAGTTTAGGCAACCATGACCCAGGAAGGATCTCTAACAGCCATCTGAGGAGTGGCCAGTGAAGTTATCACTAGGCTGTAATGTAAACACTGCATTTTAATAATTCTACTCACCAGAACAAATTCAATAAGCTGTAGTTGTTCTGGTGACTAGTGTACCTTTAACGAAAGTTACATTGTAACACTCATATCTGTCAGGAATCCCTGAATAACCCTTCACATTTATATATATATTTTTTTTTAAAGAAGAATACGTAAGGTATTAAACTTGGTGTATTTTGACTCTTTTCATGCAACCCTTTTTTCCAACAATCCAAATTTTAAAAAAATAAAAAAATAATTGGTGATTTTTTTTCACACACAATTCAACTTAAGAATACATGTACTGAGAACTTTAAGGGTACTGCCAAAGAACACCCCAATATGTGTTCAGCAACATCTCCTGAGTACAGTGATATGTGTGTCGGGTTCTGTATTGGTGTGTCGGGTTCTCTGGGGGCTAAAAGACCTTATTTGGAGGGTGCGCATTCCAGTTTTCCAACTTGGAGTTTTCACAGCTGGTCATCATGAACCCATGTCCTATTTGGGACAGTTTTGAAGCTAGCCAATGTAATTTACTGCCATCAAACCATATTTTTTTTTTTTAAAGTAGACAACCTACGGTATTCAAAATGGGGTATTTCCACTCTTTTTTAGTAGCCACTTAGTCAGGAGGTAAGTGCCCTGTTAGGGTGCGAGAGTGCGTGCAGCCGACTGTTGGTAGTGAGGCAGCGGCCGTTTGTCCCACTCACCGCCGGAGAAGGCCGGGTTGGGGCAACGAGTTTTTCTCCCCCAGGGGACTGAAGCTCAATGAGCCAGCCTCTTCTCGGATCCAGCAGTCCCATGGCTCTGTGTATCTTCGCTGTCGGTCCGATTTTGGTTGGTAATACATGTTTTTAGAGGGTATTCTTTAGCATGTTTCAGTAGCTGCTCTGACTTGCGACAGTCCAGCTTGGCGGTCCGGGCCCACCCCTTATATTTGTTTTTTTTACATTTTTTACACATAATATCATCGGTGAAATGGCAGTTTATCAGTACAATACATTTTACTGCTCTAAAACACTCATATTTGTATAGCGTAATGTCTCACGAGTACAACAGTACAACATAAGTATAGGTTTTATGGTGATTTGGAAAGTTACAAGGTCAAACATAAGATTTGCCAATTAAGTTTTTTGTAAATTGCTTTTGTAAATTCCTGAATGACAGTGAATTGAGCAGTGAAATTGCAGGGGAATACACAGTTCTATACACTAAAACTGCTTTATTTAGCTAAAGTAATTTAGGTGACTATAGTGTTCCTTTAAGAAGGAAGATCGGGGGTCAGAGCGAGCACAAGCCAAACAGAGCTTTGGCCAATCAGTATCTCCTCATAGAGACGCATTGAATAAATGCATCTCTATGAGGAAAATTTAATGTTTCCACGCAGATGGCGGAGACACTGAATATCAGTGCTGCACACTGTGCAGCACTGCCCCAGGAAGCACTTCTAGTTGCCATATGAGAAGTGGCCAGTGGAGGTTCCCTAAGCTGTAATGTAAGCACTGCATTTTCTCTGGAAAACCAGTGTTTACTGCAAAAAGCATGAAGGGAATGATCATACTAACCAGAACAAATACAATAAGCTGTAGTTCAGGGGTTCTCAACCCAGTCCTCAGGACCCACTACCAGTCCAGGATTTGGGGATTACCTGGGTGTGTCTCAGGTGTTTAGAAAAAGGTAAAAAAACACCTTAGACTCTAAAGTGTTTTTTTTTTTTCATTTTCTAAACACCTTAGACACACCCAGGTAATCTCTAAACCCTGGACTGGTAGGGGGTCCTGAGGACTAACGTTGAGAACCCCTGCTGTAGTTGTTCAAGTGACTATAGTGTCCGTTTAAGTACTGGGTTAATCTGACACTTACCTGGCACTGCTGGGCATCAACAGTCCTTCCAGTTTACACTGCTATGCAAACGCGGAGGGTTATACTTCCGCATTAGCATGTCAGCTTTGAATATTACTCATTGGCTGTTAGCCTCAGCTTAATGCTCCTTTAAAGCGGCACTGTCATGCCAAATTAACCTTTGTTTAATCGATTCCTCTTCTCTCCCTCTGTCAGGATCTGTTCTTCGTTTCTTCCTGTCTGCTCTAGTTTTCCCACCAATCTCACCTTTGATCTGTGATCTCGCAATCCTTCCTGTCAGTATTCCTGAACGTCCTGTCACTTAAACAGAACGCTGGCGAAATTTTGTTCGGATCGGTATTTCATTCGAATTAATGAAACTCCGATCCTATTTCTGCCACGGGTGCATCTTGCAGCCACTTAGTAGATAGCTCCCTAATTCCCACGGTATCAGGGAGCTATCTACCAAACGGCTGAAAGACCTAAATTGGTCTTTCGTGTGTCCCCCCGACCCCCACACATGAGCGGCGAGTGGGGGCCCTAAACGTAAATGGGGGGGGGGGCCTATCGTCCTCCCCACCGGCCCCCACCCATGAACGGCAGGTGGGGGCCCTAAATGAAAATGGAGGGGACCTATCATCCTCCCCCCAGCACCCACCCCTGAGCGGCGGGTGGGGGACCTAAATAAAAATGGGGGGGGGGAGAGGGGAAGTGGGGGACCTATTGTCCCCCCGGCCCCCACCCATGAGCGGCGGGTGAGGGCCCTAAATGAAATGTTAAACCCCCCCAGGTGCCTAGGGGTCCCCAAGCCCCTAGTCACCCACCCCACCCAAAATCACATAACTCTCTGATTGGCTGTTTGATAGCAAGCAATCAGAGTGTTGTTATGAGTCAAATTACACAGCATGGGAAAACTCCAAACAACTTTCCCATGCTGTGTAAAATGACACAGAGCACCCTGATTGGTTGTATTTCAAGCCAACCAGAGTGCAGTGACAGATACATTTAGAGACTTACCTGTCAGAGCACTCTGATTGGTTGGCTTAAACCAACCAATCAGAGCTCTCCGAGCCTAATTGAAGGGCGTAGGAAGGCTTTATAAGACTTTCCCCGCGCTGCGGAGCACAGTCTGCGCCATGCCCTCGCTGTGTAAAAATTGAATACGTTTTTAGCTTCTGTATTTTTTTTTTGTGTGCTTTGGTTTTTTATTTTATTTTCAAAGTGGGACGGGTATTATAGACTATTTTATTTGGCCTTTTTGGGGGCTGAAAAAAGAAGATTTTAGAAAAAAGAAGACATCAAATGGTAAGTTTTATTTAGTTTTCACAGGTATTTAGTTCTTTCGTTCCCCCCTCACTATTATTTTAGGGTGAGGGGGTGGGTAGGGGTTTATACATACGGTATAAGGTGGAGTATATTAAGTACAATAAGTCTTCCAATAGTAGTGGCAATAAAATAGTCCAAATGGGAATGTTCTCTAGAATATGAACATAAATACTAAGAAATAGTGCAATATAGCCAATCTCAATCAGTAATCAATATATATAAGAGATAAAGCACTCACAAACATAGAGCCAATTCAAAGGCTCAATAGTAGAGCTCTGTGGGTACTAAAGGGACCCACTTCCTTCTTGTTGCTGCCTGCAGTATCGAAATATAGGATGTCCTCTCAGGATGTATCAAAAATAAAGTGCTTTATTTGAATATGCACATAAATATATAAAATACATAAAAATCAGTAGAAAACCTTACAGTTGGTGAAGGTTGGTCCTTATCTAAGGTGCAAAACGCGTTTCGCCTCGTCTAGAGGCTTCCTCAGTTGCTGGTTTGTGTCCACAGTAAGTCTGCCTTAAATGTCCTCCCCTCTGGCGGTCTTTTTTGGAGTTTTTCGGGCTTTTCGAATGTGTTTCACTTCCGCTTCCGGGTTCGGCCTTTTGCGTTCCATCCGTGAACGCATGTATTCTCTGACGCATAAGTTTGGTGTTACTTCGTTCCACTTCCGTTTCCGGGTTCGGCTGTATGCGTTCCATTCGTGGAACGCAAATGGCGCTTAATATTTCCACATTATGTATCCCAAGCATCTGTAAAGTCTCATCTTGTCACAGTTGGGGTTTAAGAATTTTTTTTGGGTGGGGGTTGACTGAAGGGGGGTAAATATTTTCATTTAGGGGCCCCCACCGCCGCTCATGGGTGAGGACTGGGGGGTCAATAGCCCCCCCCCCCCCATTTTTATTTAGGGCCCCCACCTACCGCTCATGGGTGGGGCCAGGGATGACGACAATAGGCCTCCCCCCCCTTATTGTTATTTAGGGCCCCCACCCGCCGCTCAGGGCTGCTCACTGTTTATCAGACACACCCCTACTCGCAGTTTACATAGTAGGGGCAGAATTTATGGACATTACGTAATCTTTACTTAGTATTAGTTAATGTGGCTGAAAGACCAATCTATGTTTTTTAGCCTTTTGGTAGATAGCTCCCTAATACCGTGGGAGCTTTCTACTAAGCGGCTGCAAGATGCAGCCGCGGCACAAATAGGACAGGAGTTTCATTCATTCAAATGAAATGCCAATCCTTATTAAGTCCCGAATTGCATCCTAACATGAATGGAGAAACTGTTCTCATTCTGTTAGGACAAAATTCGGTAGTTTCGCCGGCCATCTGTCTAAGTGACAGGACGTACGGTAATACTAACCGGAAGCATCGCGAGATCACGGATCAAAGGTGAGAATTGTGGGAAAATTGCTTTGATCACCGGAAACGAAGCACACTTTGCTCCTCCGCTGGTCAAAGCTGGTCAAGCGTAGGAAACCTCCATAAGACAAAGTAGTCCTTACTTTGTCTTATGTTTTAAGGAAAACTAGAGCAGACAGGAAAAAATGAAGAACATATCCTGACAGAGGGAGAGAAGAGGAACCGATTAGAGAAAGGTAAGTTTGGCATGACAGTGCCGCTTTAATAATTTACCTGCCTATGAGTTGTCAAACACACACACACACACTTACCCAGCAGACGGCTGGTCTGGATATCAATGGGCACATTCTGTATGTCCTGTAATAAAATAAATGTTGCTAAATTAAAGAGTTGCATCACATCACCAAATGCTGCATCTGCTATCTTTCCATCCCTTGTTGCAGTTAGTAAATATATTACTACAATAATAGTGCACGTTCCAGAGGTATGCTATCATATTATTATGTTACTGTGGGCAAACACCATAACAACAAATAATTAATTAATAATTAATTTCAAATTCAGTTCTGGGAGTGGCTTAGAATTGCAGGACCTCAAGGACAGCCCCAAGAGCTGTCAATCAGGCAGCAGGATATAAGTGATTTCTTGGCGACAAGAGATATTTTAAAAAGGATTTATTTACACTAGAATAATTATACTATCTACTCCATTACTACAATCCTGTTACTCAGTATTATTTGCACCCTGTATATGCTATCCATGTGTTACTGTTACTCGGTATTATTTGCACCCTGTATATGCTATCCATGTGTTACTGTTACTCGCTATTATTTGCACCCTGTATATGCTATCCATGTGTTACTGGCTATTATTTGCACCCTGTATATGTTATCCATGTGTTACTGTTACTCGGTATTATTTGCACCCTGTATATGCTATCCATGTGTTACTGGCTATTATTTGCACCCTGTATATGTTATCCATGTGTTACTGTTACTCAGTATTATTTGCACCCTGTATATGCTATCCATGTGTTACTGTTACTCGCTATTATTTGCACCCTGTACATGCTATCCATGTGTTACTGGCTATTATTTGCACCCTGTATATGTTATCCATGTGTTACTGTTACTCAGTATTATTTGCACCCTGTATATGCTATCCATGTGTTACTGTTACTCGCTATTATTTGCACCCTGTACATGCTATCCATGTGTTACTGGCTATTATTTGCACCCTGTATATGCTATCCATGTGTTACTGTTACTCGGTATTATTTACACCCAGTATATGCTATCCATGTGTTACTGTTACTCGGTATTATTTGCACCCAGTATATGCTATCCATGTGTTACTGTTACTCGGTATTATTTACACCCAGTATATGCTATCCATGCGTTACTGTTACTCGGTATTATTTGCACCCTGTATATGCTATCCATGTGTTACTGTTACTCGCTATTATTTGCACCCTGTACATGCTATCCATGTGTTACTGGCTATTATTTGCACCCTGTATATGCTATCCATGTGTTACTGTTACTCGGTATTATTTACACCCAGTATATGCTATCCATGTGTTACTGTTACTCGGTATTATTTGCACCCAGTATATGCTATCCATGTGTTACTGTTACTCGGTATTATTTACACCCAGTATATGCTATCCATGCGTTACTGTTACTCGGTATTATTTGCACCCTGTATATGCTATCCATGTGTTACTGGCTATTATTTGCACCCTGTATATGTTATCCATGTGTTACTGTTACTCAGTATTATTTGCACCCTGTATATGCTATCCATGTGTTACTGTTACTCGCTATTATTTGCACCCTGTACATGCTATCCATGTGTTACTGGCTATTATTTGCACCCTGTATATGTTATCCATGTGTTACTGTTACTCAGTATTATTTGCACCCTGTATATGCTATCCATGTGTTACTGTTACTCGCTATTATTTGCACCCTGTACATGCTATCCATGTGTTACTGGCTATTATTTGCACCCTGTATATGCTATCCATGTGTTACTGTTACTCGGTATTATTTACACCCAGTATATGCTATCCATGTGTTACTGTTACTCGGTATTATTTGCACCCAGTATATGCTATCCATGTGTTACTGTTACTCGGTATTATTTACACCCAGTATATGCTATCCATGCGTTACTGTTACTCGGTATTATTTGCACCCTGTATATGCTATCCATGTGTTACTGTTACTTGCTATTATTTGCCCCCTGTACATGCTATCCATCTGTTACTGGCTATTATTTGCACCCTGTATATGCTATCCATGTGTTACTGTTACTCGGTATTATTTACACCCAGTATATGCTATCCATGTGTTACTGTTACTCGGTATTATTTGCACCCAGTATATGCTATCCATGTGTTACTGTTACTCGCTATTATTTGCACCCTGTACATGCTATCCATGTGTTACTGGCTATTATTTGCACCCTGTATATGCTATCCATGTGTTACTGTTACTCGGTATTATTTACACCCAGTATATGCTATCCATGTGTTACTGTTACTCGGTATTATTTGCACCCAGTATATGCTATCCATGTGTTACTGTTACTCGGTATTATTTACACCCAGTATATGCTATCCATGCGTTACTGTTACTCGGTATTATTTGCACCCTGTATATGCTATCCCTCTGTTACTGTTACTCGGTATTATTTACACCCAGTATATGCTATCCATGTGTTACTGTTACTCAGTATTATTTGCACCCTGTATATGCTATCCATGTGTTACTGTTACTCGGTATTATTTGCACCCAGTATATGCTATCCATGTGTTACTGTTACTCGGTATTATTTGCACCCTGTATATGCTATCCATGTGTTACTGTTACTCGGTATTATTTGCACCCAGTATATGCTATCCATGTGTTACTGTTACTCGGTATTATTTACACCCAGTATATGTTATCCATGTGTTACTGTTACTCGGTATTATTTGCACCCAGTATATGTTATCCATGTGTTACTGTTACTCGGTATTATTTGCACCCTGTATATGCTATCCCTCTGTTACTGTTACTCAGTATTATTTACACCCAGTATATGCTATCCATGTGTTACTGTTACTCAGTATTATTTGCACCCTGTATATGCTATCCATGTGTTACTGTTACTCGGTATTATTTGCACCCAGTATATGTTATCCATGTGTTACTGTTACTCGGTATTATTTGCACCCTGTATATGCTATCCCTCTGTTACTGTTACTCAGTATTATTTACACCCAGTATATGCTATCCATGTGTTACTGTTACTCGGTATTATTTACACCCAGTATATGCTATCCCTCTGTTACTGTTACTCAGTATTATTTACACCCAGTATATGCTATCCATGTGTTACTGTTACTCGGTATTATTTGCACCCTGTATATGCTATCCATGTGTTACTGTTACTCGGTATTATTTGCACCCAGTATATGCTATCCATGTGTTACTGTTACTCGGTATTATTTGCACCCAGTATATGTTATCCATGTGTTACTGTTACTCGGTATTATTTGCACCCAGTATATGTTATCCATGTGTTACTGTTACTCGGTATTATTTGCACCCAGTATATGCTATCCATGTGTTACACACATCAGTTTGAACTCTGTATATGCTATCCCTCTGTTACTTTACTCAGTATTATTTACACCAGTATATGCTATCCATGTGTTACTGTTACTGGTATTATTTGCACCAGTATATGCTATCCATGTGTTACTGTTACTCAGTATTATTTGCACCCTATATACTATCCATGTGTTACTGTTACTCAGTATTATTTGCACCCTGTATATGTTATCCATGTGTTACTGTTACTGGTATTATTTGCACCTGTATATGCTTATCCCTCTGTTACTGTTACTCTGTATTATTTGCACCCTGTATATGCTATCCATGTGTTACTGTTACTCGGTATTATTTGCACCCAGTATATGCTATCCATGTGTTACTGTTACTCGGTATTATTTGCACCCAGTATATGCTATCCATGTGTTACTGTTACTCGGTATTATTTGCACCCAGTATATGTTATCCATGTGTTACTGTTACTCGGTATTATTTGCACCCAGTATATGTTATCCATGTGTTACTGTTACTCGGTATTATTTGCACCCAGTATATGCTATCCATGTGTTACTGTTACTCAGTATTATTTGAACTCTGTATATGCTATCCCTCTGTTACTGTTACTCAGTATTATTTACACCCAGTATATGCTATCCATGTGTTACTGTTACTCGGTATTATTTGCACCCAGTATATGCTATCCATGTGTTACTGTTACTCAGTATTATTTGCACCCTGTATATGCTATCCATGTGTTACTGTTACTCAGTATTATTTGCACCCTGTATATGTTATCCATGTGTTACTGTTACTCGGTATTATTTGCACCCAGTATATGCTATCCATGTGTTACTGTTACTCAGTATTATTTGCACTCTGTATATGCTATCCCTCTGTTACTGTTACTCTGTATTATTTGCACCCAGTATATGCTATCCATGTGTTACTGTTACTCGCTATTATTTGCACCCAGTATATGCTATCCATGTGTTACTGTTACTCGGTATTATTTGCACCCAGTATATGCTATCCATGTGTTACTGTTACTCGGTATTATTTGCACCCAGTATATGCTATCCCTCTGTTACTGTTACTCGGTATTATTTACACCCAGTATATGCTATCCATGTGTTACTGTTACTCGGTATTATTTACACCCAGTATATGCTATCCATGTGTTACTGTTACTCTGTATTATTTGCACCCAGTATATGCTATCCATGTGTTACTGTTACTCTGTATTATTTGCACCCAGTATATGCTATCCATGTGTTACTGTTACTCAGTATTATTTGCACCCAGTATATGCTATCCATGTGTTTCTGTTACTCGGTATTATTTGCACCCTGTATATGCTATCCATGTGTTACTGTTACTCTGTATTATTTGCACCCAGTATATGCTATCCATGTGTTACTGTTACTCGGTATTATTTGCACCCTGTATATGCTATCCATGTGTTACTGTTACTCAGTATTATTTGCACCCAGTATATGCTATCCATGTGTTACTGTTACTCGCTATTATTTGCACCCAGTATATGCTATCCATGTGTTTCTGTTACTCAGTATTACCCTCATTCAGTCTGATCCTGTATCCCTGTTACCCAGGATGTGTCTCTCCTCCTCCAGCCTCATATTAACATGTCACTATCCCTGAATTAATGCAATGCTGTATATCCCGGATTATAGTTGTCCTCCCTCTATCCCCCCCATCTCGCCGGGCGCCTTATTGACCGGTAAGATTACCGGTGACGTCACACAACTCCCGGTCCCACCTGCATCACGGCTCCGGTGACTCGAAGGACACGTGTACAGGACACACAGAGCTCCACCAATCACCTCACTAAGCGTCACCGGCATGTCCCGCCTACTGACAAGTAGCCAATCATAGACGAGCACTAGCAAGCTAGTCACCCGAGTGATTTCTGCCAATCAGCCTTGTGCCTTGCACTGTTACCAGGAAGTGATGGCTCGACACTTGCTTTCCTGTTGAGTTGATATTTACAGTGCATGCACTTAATAACTGAGTCATTTCTCAAATACCTCCTGTAATTAATTTTATAACTGAAAGCATGGGCTTAGGTTTTATTACTCTCTAATGAATATGTTTTCTTGCCCAGGTTAATGATCTGTTTTAGCATTACTTACCCAGGCAAGAGACAGTTCATACAAAATGGATCTGTGAATAGAAAAATGGAAATGCAATGCTTGTGTTTTACCTCAAGGGAGCATTCAAACCATGCTGAGGGGGAAAACAATAAGCATAGAATAAAAAAATGGCTATATACCCTCATACGCGACCCGGCGGTGTTTTTTTTTTTTCTTGAACCCCAAGGGAGTTTAGGGGCAACCCTCAGACGGGAGAGATGCATGCAAAGGGAAGCCCCCCGAATTTTGAGGGACTATCACAAAACTACACAAGCAATAGCCGCCACATTACTACACCCGAAGGAACACCACTTAACACACTTACAAAGCAGGGGTCCTCATGGTGAAATGTATTACTAATCGGGAGTACCGAATTGCTAGAGCTTCAGATACATATGTCAACGATATAAAATGCATGAAGACCTTCACGAATAGCATCTTGGTATACCATAATAGCCTCTGCCCCACCCCTGACAGGAGAATGGTGAGAAATCTAGCGATCTGATTGTGATAACCGCATAGGGGCCTCGAGGAGAGGGCTAAATGAGGGCCACCTAGACCTCCCCTTGCTACATGCAGCATTAGGGGGGTAGGGAGGAGCGGGATGGGAACGTAAGAGGGAGGTTCACATAGATGAGCTTCAGCCGCTGGTAGCAACCGAAGGCCCCGCTCGGGGGTGAGGTGGCGGGGGTAGAACAGGGGAAATGGAGTCTCCCCCGATGGGATACGAAGGTTGGGAGCACCCGATATCAGTAGCTCGGAACCTATATAATTAGCACTGCAGGGGGTCGAAAACAGCAATAAGGAAGGGACACTTGAACGCTTGCGGTACAACTTAAAGGTTTAAACATGTTAGGAAGCAAGCTTAAGCGACGGAGCTTTAGGGATCCTCAGTTTCCTCCCAATTTTGATCGTGGCAGGGAAGTGGGCATACGTTACCCACGACATTCTGGCAATTGGTGAGTCCAGAATCTTTGTTGCATCGGACAAAGTCCAGATGCTAATGTTACTATTCTCTTTCTTTTTTCCCCTATCCTCCTTCTCTTCTCCTTATTCTTATTCTATACCCTTGTTCTCGGGGGTAGTGGGGGTGACGGGCAGGGAGACGATCCCATGGAGACACTTTGGCACACAGTTGAAACAAGACAACAGGCCATTGAGACAAAGCAGTTTAGTAGAGTCAAACATATCATACAATGGAGATTAAGATCACCACACTAAACGTTAAGGGCCTTAACGCCCCTAAAAAGCGCCGCCTCATGTTTAGGGAATTAAAGAGGATGACCTTGGAAATAGCTTACTTACAAGAGACCCACCTACCTAAACAGGCCAACTTTAGACTGAGGGACCATACCTACACTGACTCATTTGAAGCCAGATCTCATCATAAACGTAATGGAGTGGCCATCATTATTAAACGTAGCTGCCCCTTCCAGATGTCGTCCCAGGATGCCGACCTGGAGGGACGGTACATCATTGTTACGGGCACCTTATATTCACACACTATTCATCTGATAAATATTTACGCCCCAAACCAACCAGACGTCGATTTTTGGAATTTGTTACGAGACAAGGTTGCAGCACTGCTGCATGGCATGATCCTCGTGGGAGGAGACTTCAATGCGGCCCCGAGTCCGGTGATGGATAGAAGCTCGAGAGTTTGGGGGCCCGAGATCAAAGGGGAGGGGAGGCCAAGAATTTATAGCGGATACAGGGTTAGTCGACATTTGGCGGGTCCAACACCCAGGAGATCGGGATTATACGTTCTACTCTGCCCCTCACGGAACGTACTCCAGGATAGATCTATTTTTAGTTAACGCGATGGGCACCCCCAGGATAGTGAGATCAGAGGTCGGAAACATTTTGTGGTCAGACCATGCGGACGTGGCTATCATCCTGGGCAACCTATGCGTGGCGAATCTATGGACCTGGAGACTGAACACATCATTGCTAAGAGACACAACGATACTTGAACAAATTTGAAAAGACATAACAGAATACTTTACCATGAACAATACCCCAGACGTGAGCACCAGCACAGTCTGGGCAGCACATAAGGCGGTGATAAGGGGGACACTGATCAAACTGGCCACAAGGAAGAAGAAGCTGAAACACAACCAGCTTGAAAACCTACTGAGACAACTAAGGAACCTCAAGCAGAAACATCAATCTGCCCCGGACGTCATGACATACGGGCGGCTAGAAGCAGTTAGAAGGAACATTCGTACTCTTCTCCTGGACGACACAGCTAGGGCCATGACATGGTCAAAACGAACGTACTTTGACAAGGCCAATAAAATGGACTCTCTCCTGGCCAGGGCGCTACGGCCTAGGCAAAACCGGTCTTACATCACGGCCATTAAACATCCGGACGGCACAATAAAAACTAAGCCAACGGATATAGCAACGGTCTTCGAGGATTTCTACGAACGATTATACAACCACAGACCGGACGGGAACTCCCGAGATGGTCAAGAGGAGGACAAAATCCTACGTTATCTAGACGACTTAGGTATGACCAAACTGACAGGAGAGGCAGCGAACACCCTAGCGACGGAAATAAGTGAGGAAGAGGTTGACAGGGCTATATCGAGTCTGAAGGGTAACAAGGCACCGGGGCCAGATGGTTTCGATGGGACGTATTACAAGACCTTCCGAAAAGAGCTCACACCCCAATTGGCGACGCTCTTCAACCATCTGAGACAGGGGGGACACCTGGGCCCCGAGATGGCCCTGCCACTATAGTACTATTGCCCAAACCCGAAAAGGACCCGCTCCAACCTGAAAACTCCAGGCCTATATGATTAATTAACCATGACTTAAAGATATTGGCGAGAATACAAGCGGACAGACTGAACCCGGTACTAAACTCGCTCATTCATGCAGATCAAGTCGGGTTCATACAAGGCAGGCAATTATATGAGAACACTAGAAGGAACGTCGACCTCATCTGGAAACAAGTGGCCACCGGATCGCCTTCGCTAGTGATATCCATCGACACAGAGAAGGCCTTCGATAGGGTGAGGTGGCAGTTCCTGTTCTCGGTCCTGAAACACATTGGTCTCCTGGAAGAATACATAAGAGTTACAAGAGCGATGTACCACAACGTTCAGGCTCAGATACAGATAACGGGGGCCCCACTAAAGCCATTTAGGCTATACAATAGAACCAGGCAGGGTTGCCCCCTCTCTCCCCTCCTCTTCGTGATGGTATTGGAGCCATTGCTACAGGCGATACGTAGACATCGAAATATCAGAGGAGTCAGAGTAGGCGACGAAGAGTTCACAGTTTCCGCATATGCGGACGACGTCCTACTGGCCATCACGAATCCGACTGAGTCGATGTCGGCACTACAGGACGTAATACAAGAATACGGGGAACTGTCCGGTTACAAAGCAAATATTCAGAAATCCAGCGCTATGCCAATCGGCTTAACGGCGACCGATATAGCACTGATTAGGGAAACCTATCAAATTCGGATGGAAACAGACTCCTTAAAATACTTAGGCGTCCATCTAACAGCAGACCCAGGACGTTTATACTCCGACAACTATGACCCAATGCTAAGGGCACTGATAGCAGATTTAGAAAAGTGGACGGACAAACCAATCTCCTGGATAGGGTTAACTCGGTAAAAATGAACATCCTCCCCCGCATCCTGTTTTTATTCCAGGCACTACTGGTCCGAGTCACAAAATCTCAACTGGTGCCATTACAGAGAGCGATAGGGGATTTTATCTGGCAAAATAAGAGACACAGAATAGCCAGACAAGTCCTGTACAGGCGAAAAGACAGAGGAGGTCTGGGACTACCGAATCTGTACTGCTACTACCTGGCGGCCCACCTGACTCAGGTAGCCATGTGGCACTCCCCATTAGGGGAACAGAGATGGGTAGAAATCGAATCCATGCTGGTGGGACTTGATGTCCCCCAGTTCACGATGTGGGTCACAAAGGAACATAGACCCATGATAAGGGTGACATGTCCTGCCATCCTCAATTCACTCCGTCTGTGGGATGCAAATAATGTCAAATATGGGCTTACATCGTCCCCCTCACCTATGGCTCCAATACTCAGGAACAGAGAGTTCCCACCTGGAATGGCTCCTAGAAACTTTAGAAATATTGAAAGAGCCGGGCTACAACGTATCCACCAACAATATAAAAATGAGGAAGTTATACAATTTGAAGAACTCCAACAAAGCAACCATCTAACCCCTACAGATTTCTTTAGATATGTCCAGATACGAGACTTCGCCATAAAACCCCACATTAAAATAGCAGCCCAAAGAAAGCTAACTTTCTACGAGAGATTATGTATGGACGGGACCGCCCCCAAAGGCATGATCACTCTTCTCTATGCCTATATCAGCACCGAAACAAAAGAATGGGGTAGATTGAAGTACACTGATCAATGGGAAGCGGTCCTAGGGGAAGAGCTGGAAGGAATCGAGTGGCAGGAGATATGGGAAGCAAACAAAAACACCTCCATATGTGTCACGTTACAGGAGCAGGCATGGAAAAACATGCTTCTGTGGTATACCACTCCCGTGACACTACAGAAAATGCGTACAACAGACACAGATGATTGCTGGAGGGGCTGCGGATTACGTGGCACGTATATCCATATGTGGTGGGAATGCCCGAAGCTACATAGCTTCTGGGAGTCTGTGGAAAACCTATTGAAACAGACGTTCGGTAAACCTTTG